AGGGCTTTAAATTAGGTACTGACGATGTGCTGGAGGGGTGGAACTTGCCACCAAGGCTCTTACTTCTTCTCATGTTTGCTTACATGCAAGGAGACTGAATGCCCAAATGGAGTTATGTGGCCAGAATAACATGAAACAGGCCTTGGTGAGAACTGCAGTGGTCTTCCACAGCTTTTATGAAGTCACGTTTACAGGGACCGAGTGGTTTTGTATCACAGATGGGAGTATTTCTAGTACAACTGGAGAGAAATTATCAGGAAAAAATCCAGAATGCATGGGGATTATGTGCATGTGTGCATTTGGACCATAGCCAATATGTTTGCTTGTAAAATATTCTTGTCAGAAAATGTCTGACCAACCTTAAAGTGTGTGGTGGGAGCTGTGGAAGAGACTTTTTCCAGACAAAGGAACAAGTTCTGCTAGTGTTGCTTTCGGCTAAGCACTCGGGTGGCATGTGTTTTACGTTCTCTATTGTTCTGACATATACTCAAGTACATAATATTTTCAGTTCTGCAGCAGCATGCTATTTGGGAAACAGTTAGATTTTCAAAACATATCACTTACAAATCATGTAAGCTGCCTTCAGATGTTGCCCAGCTGTTCCAGCATAGTCAATAAATTTTATCTGGAATTTTTAAAATTCTAATCTTGGTCACTGTGCTAAAATCCTGGAATGTTGTTTTGTGCTTCTCCCTCTTTGTTGTTGTTGCTAGAAATAGCACACTGTACTAATGTATAGTAGTAGATAGCTGTGACAAACAGCCCAATATAAAAAACATCAACAATGTGCATGGCCCAGTGTATTTTCCCCTGGGTGTTGCAACTCAACTGCTTCCTTCTGCCATAGTAAAATGCATCCTGCCAAGTTCTTTATGACCCACTGAGGACCATTACACATTGCAGAATAGCAAACCTGGATTTGCCAATGAGTGTACATTCAACAGGGAGCTACAGCCAATCACAGGTCTGTATTAAGTGTACTGGCATGATACATATTTAAATACATTTAGGTGCAGGTGTACACCTAAAATGTAACATGTGAAATCACAAATCTGAGCATCTATTGGATAAGGCTGTATATTTGAACTGGTAGTTTTGTGAGGGGCTTTGGGTTTTTTAGAGCATTTCTTGCAAAAAATGATATTTTAATGGGCATTTATTGGAATATTTTATATCTGCTCCCATATTTCCTAGTTATCTGCTCTGAACCACTAGGTCAGAGTGGGCTATGAATTTAAATAAATGCAATACATAAATGAAAGCAATTTAGTGCTCTGCAGCTGTTCCCCCCTTTTTATTATATGCATATAAATTAAGGAAGCTTTTCAGTTTTTACATTAAATAACACTTGAGTAATCAGCTTGTAGCAACTCCAGTCTATGAGTAAACTGAAGCTATCTAATCAATTTGGGAAGCAGTTAAAATTTGTAGCAGCTTATTATTATTATTATTATTCAATTTATATACCATCCTTTATCTAAAGATCTCAGGGTGGTGGTGTACATTACAAAACATCCATGATAAAAACAGAATAAAAACATAGTAAAAAGCATACTGACAAGACAGTCCAACAGTAAAATAATCATAATAGTAGCAGTCCTCTGCACCACACTTTCACAGGCCATAGATTATTTAATAGCCATAGGCATTTAATAGGCATGTTTTTGCCTGGTGTCTAAAGACATGTAATTATGGTGCCAGGTGAGCCTCTCTAGGGAGAGCAGACCACAATCAGGGAGCCACCACAGAAAAGGATGTATCAGCAGTCACTTTGTTAGACATATGTCTTTTTAGCCAAGTTTAAAGCTATTCTGATAGAAATTGGCCTTTTTTAGGCCTGGAAAATGTGCTTAGTTTTTAGAGATGTGGAATACCACAACAATGATGTGATACAAGCTTGCTTTGTACCTTATTTTAATAGATCTCACCTTCACAAAAGGAATATAGGAATAATGTGCCATAACCCTACACAGGAATGGTAGAGAAATTTCGTATTTTAAAAGTGGCTCTTCCTAATTCACACCTCTTAAAACAAAATATTAGCTGAAGGACCTATCATTCAACACCAAATGCACATATTTGGGGAAGGTGTAAATAAAAATGCCCAGTTTTTAATGCTTGACATTTTATTTTTTATATTTTGCTGGAAGCTACCCAGAGTGGCTGGGGAAACCCAGCCAGATGGGCGGGCTAGTATTATTTATTATTATTATTACTACATATAAAATACATAATGGAGTAATTCAAAAAAGTGTACTAGGCAAAAAATGCCTATGAAAATGAATATATTACGAGAAATGTGCACTAAAATGCTGATGTGATAATGTTTTTTAAACCAACAGAGGCAGGAAATATAGTGAACTGAATTTAAGCTTGGAAAACTGAGAAAAACTGAAATTGACAGATTCAAGCAGCCCTAACTCTGAACAGTGCTAAGTTTTAATAAATATACTGGTGCTGGATTGAGGCCCCAAAGCTTTCTGTATTTTTCCTTCTCATGCACCATATGTTTTGTTCTGCTGTGCTGTTGAAGAACAATACTAAAAGCCTCCTGAGGTTAATTTTACACCTGTAAAACCTTCTGGATTAAAATCAAATTTCTGAAGGCAAGCAGCTCAGGCATCTGGCTTATAATGGCTGCATAGTGCATTTAAATCCCAGTGGCTTGACTTTCAATGGAAATCCTCCCCCTTCCTTGATTTTCTTTTTAGTGTCCCAGTTATCAAAAATTCCACTTTGCTTTTCATCCCAAAATCTTAAAGAGATTCCTCTGAGATAGGAAACATACAGATAGTGGTTTTGGTGCTGTTTTGGACTTCATTAACATCCTGGGCTTGGTTTTTGTGTGATCAGCTTCTTTGCTTCTTTTTGACAGTTTCAGAATAAAAGGCACATATTTGCTAAGAGATGTCCTGCTGTAACTACACTAGAGAGCCTGGGTTGTTAGAGGAGCATAAAGCAGATTTAAGATTATCCACATGGGTTCTGTGGCTGATCCTGGGGATATACAAGATAGCTTGTTCTGTCTCTTAACACCTATGATGATTTACTAATCCCTGGCTCTGGTAGGAAGTCCATAATAATAAATTCAATATATGACTTATTGTGTCACTTTCAAGCCTTAACGGCAGAAGTCAACTATTTCCTCCAGTGGTCCTTTTCTATGGAGAAAAACTGCTTTTAGCTCAATGTTTGGTCCCGACTCAGTTTTAATAGATTAAGACTTGATCGTGCTAGTTTGTTTTAAATTCGGATTTCTTTTTAAGCTATTCTTTTAGACACCATTTAGTAAATGTAGGGGATGTGCGTTGGCTGTGTGTGTACTCTATACTGTATAATGTGAATTGGTGCGATTCAGGGCAGCCTTTCACATTACTGAGTTAGTTCATGCCATGACCATGCTATCAGGAAGTGCCTAACCTTCCAAGTCACTATTGACTCGGTTTTTCCACAAAGCTAAACCATTTCTCTCTCTCTCATACTTTTATTCTGAAAAATGAAATCAAGCTCATTGGGAAAATATCCAGAGCTTTAGAGATGAAGGGACAGAGAGGAGATGGGACAGGTAGAAAGGTTGGGGGAGGGGGTTGGAAATCATTTGTTTTGACAGACAGGTCTAGCTTTAAGTCACTCTGAATTATTTCCCAGGGCACTCCAATCACAGTGATTGGATGTTGAAGTAAACATGAGAGGGCCCAAACCAAACTGCAAATTTAACTTACTATTTAATCCCCTTATATGACCTCACTGCTAATGATTTAGCAGACAATTTAGCAGATTTGGGCTTTTTTTCAGCTGGAACTTGCTGGAACACAGCTCCGTCACCTCTCAGGTGGGCACCACTGTCATTACAAGAACAAGGGAGTTCATGGTGAGTTCTGGCACCTCTTTTTCTAGAAAAATAGCACTGGCAGACAGTATTTCCAGCCCGGATAACTTCTTCCAGCTGCTCCAGGCTTGCCGCTCAGTTCTTCTCCACCACCCCCTCCTCCAATCTCCCTCTCTTTAGTCATCCTCTCATCTAATCTCTGGTCTGCTTCCCAACAGTAGTAGAATAGGTCTATTTATGTCTCAGCCAGCCTATCCTTCAATCTGATTTGACAGGCATAGTATTTCCCTGCCTTCATCAGACTACCTATTCTGTCCAATGAATGATCAAGAATTTCTGTCCAATAAGCCAGTCAAAAGTCTAATTCACTATCCTCAGGATTAAACCTCACCTAGTTTCCCCAGACCAGACTCAGGTACTTACTTAACAGCCAACTGTCAACCAGCAACAGATACTTAGCATTTTCAAATGTAACCCTTACATGACCCCACATGCACATACATCTAAACCAAAAACCTGTTCTACCAAACATATTTTAAAAAGTGATTTTTTCACAGCATAATATTTATATTGCATTTTGATGGTCAGCAAAACTGCCTAAAGGTTCAGTTATATGGGCAGTATAAGTTGTGCAATAAAAACTTTTTTTAAAGGATTAAATTGTAAACTTCTAATTTATGAACCAAAAAGCCAGCATCTCTCCTAGCACTATGTTGTTTCTGTCTGCCAATACATTTTTAAAATAGATTTTCAGTTGCCTTGGTTATAGCACAACTGGGAATGATTACTATCAGGGTGTGTTGCTTTTGTAGTTTTACTATAGTAGAGCTTGGGAATATAGCCGGTATATTCTTCTGCTCTCCAGCTGAGGCTGTTTTACTATCTTAAGTTTTTAAGATTGATGACAATTCTGTTATAGCAGTATTGTACATTTTCCAGCGATACCTAGCTCCCAAATACATATGTGTACACACACAAATGGTTTTATAGACTACTTTTTACAAATACATGGACTCAGGCACATCATTCAGAAATGGAAGGTGGGGGAGGAGCAGAAATGGTCCCCTATATTTTGGAGAGGACTAACCCAAACTCTTATCCTGCTCCGGGGGGGAAATAATTTTGTCATTTTGTTACTGGCTAATACATTAGCACATTAAACAATGGGTTTACCAGGATATTGTTTTATATACATTATATGTCTCAATGTCCTTGTAACATCATAGAAAGCTGGAAATGTTTTGAGATTCCAGCTAAGGATACTCCTGGTCAAAATTCAAGGTAAAGGTAAAGGAAGTTTGGACAGAGCAATTGTTGTTGAGTTTGGCGAATCTGGTAAGTGCTGCTGGGGTTTTTCAAGGGTTTCCAGAGCTTTAGAGGATGTTTGCAGGCTTTTTCAATAGTGTTCTCAAAAGACACGATTTCACTTACCAGTAAATGTAGAGCCCCAGAACGTAACCCCTAGGTAAATGGAGAGTTGCCTATACATCATCTTGCATTGTACTAAATGTCACATAAGGACCAGTTTTGTATAATGTTGTCATAATGCATTTGAGACCAATTATTTTAATCTGAAAAGGGGAATTATGAAGGGCTTGGCTTCCTCAGTTTGGTATTTTGTGTCACTAGCTTTTAAACAGACAACTCCAAACATAGTAAGTAGGCACCAACAACTTCTAGAACTGGATGGGCAGGGACATGGCCATTGATCATAACTCAGATTCCCAGCCCCACCATTGTATTTTCAGGTAGAACATGAAGCTTGCAAATTGGGACAAAGAACTGTAAATATATAAAGGGCATTTTAATGGACACACTCTAAAAACCAGTTCTAGAGCCATGTGGCTGACCTCCAGATATAGCTTCTCTGATGGTGGCAATGGGCCTATCATGATTCCTAAGAGCCAGGAGAAAGATCCAGCCTCTAGGAATTTCAGATCTAGTGTCTGAAATAACTACATAAATAGAAGGGCTTCACAAGTGAAGGCTATTGCAGCAAAATTAGGTGCATAGCTGAGGCTGTAAATGCAACTATGAGTTTAGGCCTTAAGCAGCAAACTGAAATATAAACTTCTCCAAATAATCCAAAAAACTATAAAAGATGGTACACATTCAACTGAGCTGGTTTGCAGAATATGATCAAATAAAACTACCAGGTGTTAAATGTAAACAACATAACAAAAAAGAAAAAGACAGACAGAGACAGGTGATTGTAATTTGGAAAGCAATAGCTTGGAGCTATATTAGACAAAAAGGAAGAAAACTCATTTCTAGTTTACAATAAATATTCCAGAATATTTATGCATAAATGTCAGACAAAACCTATTCTAAACGAGAACTGAAACCCACAATAAAAATGTTCTACTTTATCAAAAATATGTGCCTAGCTATCATCTTTACATCATATTCAAATGTGAGGTGATGTCCTGAACCCCTGGCCTACCTGGCAGCAAGTCAGTATGTCAAGTCCAAAGTCCTGGGGTCAAGCAAAGTCCAAAAGTCAGGAAACACAGTCCAGATGTCAATCCAAGTAGTCAAGTCTGAAGCCCAGCAGTCAGGATACAGTCCAGAGTCAAACCCAAAGCGCAGTCCTGTAGACGTCCAGGAGCATCCAAGCCAAGGCCCATCAACGTGGGCTGCTGAACAGACACAGCACCTCAGCTTTGCTTCCCTTTTGTACTTTGCTTGCTGATTGCAGCATCTGGGCTTGATGAGGCAGGTGACCCTCACCTGTTCCAAGCCTACTCCAGCTGAGGAATCATACACTTCCTCCCAGAGCTAGCAAGCTCCACTTGGCCAGCTAGTGAGCTATAGGCCTTTGCCTGCCTCAGCCTCCTGGAGTGCCACTCCCACTCAGAGCCCAGTGTTCAGGGAGACAGGGGTTCCTCTGCTGGTTCCTGTGCACTGACCCCCATCCCCTCCATTACCCTGTGAATACTTCTTTCCCCATCCCCTGCTTGCCCCAGTGTGTCTCCATCCCAGCTACACCCCTTGCTGGGATCCTCTTCCTTCTCCCCTTCGTCCTGCCAGTTCATGACTGGTGAAGCTAAAGGGTGGGGGGAAAGATGCAAACCAGTTTTGGTACCAGGAAAAAGAAGTTAGCATTTTTTTGTCCTTTATTCAGTTGTGGATATCTGCTACCACTCCCTCAGGCTCAACACTGTTTAGGCAGACTCTGCATCAATGGCATGATTCACTTTCTGATATTGTACAACATTTCACTATGTATTGAAAGTGCTCCCAAATTAAAATTATACCCCATGTGAAAAATTTACACATCAGAAAGAAGGCTAGCCACCCTGGTATAGATGCACAAGGAATTAACCCACAGAGAACTTGTATTCCTTCAAAAACTCAGGAAAACATCCACTTTGTGCTCCTCCTTGGGCTTCCACTACAGTGGTACCTTGGTTCCCAAACTCAATCCGTTCCAGAAGTCCATTCTAAAACCAAAGCATTCCAAAACCAAGGCGTGCTTTCCCATAAAAAGTAATGCAAAACAGATTAATCCATTCTAGACTTTTAAATACAACCCCTAAAACAGCAATTTAACATGAATTTTACTATCTAACGAAGACCATTGATCCATAAAATGAAAGCAATAATCAGTGTACTGTACTATAAAATAAATAAGGCAGTATTGATAAATTTTTTTTTAAAAAAGAAATATTCTTAGCTGCACTGATGATAGTCATTGTTTGGATGGGGGGCTTTTATCCCTTTCTGTAGTCACTCAATCAATCCATCAGTACTGAACTGGGTTCCACACAGTCACAAAAAAACAAATTAACTGAAAAAGCCTCAAAAACAAAAATGTGAAATAAATAGCAAAAACAAAAGCGCCAAACCTAATCCATTCCGGAAGTCCGTTTGACTTCTGAAATGTTCAAAAACCAAGGCACAGCTTCTTGTGCAGGCGCCCTGGAAACAATAGCCGACAGCTACATCAGACGTTCAGCTTCCGAAAAACATTCAAAAACTGCAACACTTACTTCTGGGTTTTTGGCGTTTGAGAACCAAGGCATTTGAGAACCAAGGTACCACTGTATTCTACCTTGTAACCCATGTCCAGTGTAACTAACACGCACACACCATTTGCAGGTAATTTTTCTTAGGAATAGCATTTCTCAGCAGAAGACACTGTGCATCGAGAATGAGTTTCCTTAATGCCTGTCATCCTCTACAGCAGAAAGAAGCATCACTGACACAAGATAGAAACCAAATTCTTACTCTGATCTACTAAATTTCATCTTGTTAAGAATACTAAAACTCTTCAGTTGACAGTTACTGAAAATAAACTATTGTACCACATCTTGAAAAAAGTCTACTGTGACTGTAGCAGAGGCTACATCTAACACAGTTATGGCTGACAGACTAGAAAGTTGCTTTTATATTGTTATACTGCAACAGGGTTTCACAGGGAACATTTTGAACTTCGTGACAGTGGAGGTGGTTTAGCTGACACTTTGCTTTGGACTGCAGATGAGGCCTTTTTATGGTCAAATCTCAGGCTGCGAATTGTGCTGTTTATAGCTGCAACACATGCTTTCCAGTCATATCCAGTTTCCTTCAGCTCAAAAGATGGGTAAGTCTCTTGCAGAAAGTCTAATAATAAAAAAAGCAAGTTACAAATTGTTTATTAAAGTTTTATATTGCTTAGTAAGTATTGAGTTATACACTGTTCAGATTAGGCAAATTAAAGGCATCCTACTTTGAAGAGAGAATGCTACAGTACCCGTAACTGCTTCTGATAAGCAACTACTAAATCAGGAATCCTACAAATGAGCAGTAAATGCCTTTTGGAAGAGCCTCATCAATATGATTGCTCCTCTGGTGCTGAGGAGCCCTGGTATCCTAGGCAGCAGCGTGTGATGAAACAGGATGGAAGATGGTGGCACAGAACTCGCTCCAAAGCTGACTGAGCAGATTAGGGTGCATAATCGGACCTACCGTGCAGCAATAAGGGCAGCAAAGAAGTCCTACTTCACAGCCTCTAGTAATGATCCAGCAGAGCTCTTACAGACCACCTGGAATCTGGTCTCATGTGTAGGTGGGGACGGGCATTTGGAGGCCTCCTTTGACCATTTGGTCCATTATTTTGAGGATAAAGTCACTTGACACTGCAGCAATTTCGATGCTGCCATTATTGTAACAATTCCACCTTGATCACTGAAATCTCTTGATGGGGCACTTCTGGTAGGTTGGCCTGAGATTTGGTTGGCCTATGCAGTAAAGACCAAACACTGAAACTGGCAAGCCCTGCTGTGGAACGCCCTACAAGTAGAGTTTTGGCAGGAAGCTTCTCTGCCTCCTTTTAGACATATTCTGAAAGAGGTCTTGTTTAGACAGAGCTCCACAATATGAATTTCTTTTTCACCAACCAGTATCTCCTGATGTTTTATTAATGTTTTAAATCTTATGAATACATTTGCTGATTTTATTATATTTTGTATACCACCCTGATATATCTTGTTAAAGAATAGTTTATAAATATTTGAATAAATATTTCACAGCCTGACAGCTCAGTCCTATATAATGTCTGCTCGGAACCAAATTGCACTGAGTTCCATGGGGGTTACTCTCCCATTAAATTGCCTTTAGGGATTGCATCTCTCCTACTGAAACCGTTACTGACCTCTAAGAGCATTTATTTTGTTGCAGTCCAGTGGATGTGTGCCACGGTCCAGGTTGCCATACACATTGCTTTTTATCAGGATATTCTCTGTGAACAGATGACGTATCAGGTAGCGTGCTGAAAGTTCTGGCCGAGTTTTTCCCTTGGCTGCAAAAATAACTGAAAAGGGCAACTGGACATTCCTTGATGGGTTCCCAAGGTGTGCTAGAGAGGAGGCATTTTTATTATTATTATGATGAAAAAGATTTCAAACCCTGTTCTTTAAGCAGAATGGCTCAAGAATGGTTGACAAATGTCAGCCCTAAGATTGTCAGTCTGAAAGCAGGGACCATCTAAAAAGCTTAGAAATCTAACTATCCTGTTTTGTTCTAAGTGGAATGGTTTCATGTTTGTTTTCAAAACTGATTAAAAATGAAGAGTTCTGTCTCTACATTGAGCAGATTCCTCATAATTCTATATTTCTGAAATGCCTAAAGTAGGTAACTAAAACAAACCCATGTCTGCATGCTCAGTCTAAACTGAAGCAGGGAAAAAATGAAGGACGATTTATCAGTCCGACTGCTAAAAGTCTAATTTAACTTGTGAGCTACCCAGCTAGGTATAACCCACCAGCCACTATGCTCTGCAAGCTGCTTGATCGCCCCACCCCCATTCTTTCCCTCTTAGACAGACAAGGGGGGAAATGCAGGTTTTTAAATGCCTGGAGGACTGGTTTACAGTGTTTGCATACTGCATATGGCTTGCACAGTTCTGACATAGAAAACAAAGGTTCAGCAGCTTACCCATTGGCTCTAAAGAAGGTGGTTCACTGGAAGAAGGTGCGTTTTTATTATTATCCCCTGTTGAATTCTGAAGCTGGTTTGATATTGAACTGGTTTGAGAATTGATGTCACTCTCTTCCCCAATATCAATTAAATCTACACACATGGATGTGTCTGGAGCTTCAGGAGCTTTCTCTTTTCCCTCAGTGATCTAGGAAGCAATGTAGCAGGGAGGAATATTTCCATAACTAATGTAAAAATGCAGTAATAAACTTCTACAAATATCATAAGGAAGAAACTTAAATGAATTAAAGCAAGAACAATATTGTCTATTATTTTATTTCATAGTATTTTCAATTGAGTAAGCTACGTTATTTTTGCTCTTGGCAATAGCAGTGACACAGTAGCAAAAGAGGTAGGCATTCTTCTGTAAATTCTCTATTCAATTTGAAACATTCGAAGCAATGGCCGTGAATCACTACTTCAGTAACTAGAGATCTATAAATATTTTGTATCAATGAGCCTGAAACATCCTTAATACTTTCTGGGTTTCAGCGTTTATTATTAACTTCTGATTTCAAACTTAAGATAATTGCTTTCAGAGAAATGCAGTCTGGGCTAGGATGTGTTTATAGAGGCGTCAACACAAAGAAAGAACTTACTGGACTTGTTTTGCTTTCATAACATAAGCAGCGGATCATTGCATTCACATTTGTAATACAGGTTTTCCAGTCTTTCCCACGCTCACTTAGATCATAACTTGGGAAATAAGCAGCAAGAAATTCTGCATTCAAAAACACAATTATTATTTTTTAAAGCACACTTATGTTACTATGAAACACCGCGCTTCTGTTTTAAACAAACCATTGAATAATAATAATAATAATAATAATAATAATAATAATAATACCCCGCCCATCTGGCTGGGCTTCCCCAAGCCACTTTGGGTGGCTTCCAACAAAATACTAAAATACAGTAATCCATCAAACATTAAAAGCTTCCCTAAACAGGGCTGCCTTCAGATGTCTTCTAAAAGTCTGGTAGTAGTTGCTCTCCTTGAAATCTGGTGGGAGGGCATTCCACAGGGTGGGTGCCACTACCAAGAAGGCCCTCTGCCTGATTCCCTGTAACTTGGCTTCTCGCAGTGAAGGAACTGCCAGAAGGCCCTCGGCGCTGGATCTCAGTGTCCGGGTAGAACGATGGGGGTGGAGATGCTCCTTCAAGTATACTGGAGCGAGGCCGTTTAGGGCTTTAAAGGTCTACACCAACATTTGAATTGTGCTCGGAAACGTACTGGGAGCCAATGTAGGTCTTTCAAGACTGGTGTTATGTGGTCTCGGTGGCCGCTCCCAGTCACCAGTCTAGCTGACGCATTCTGGATTAGTTGTAGTTTCCGGGTCACCTTCAAAGGTAGCCCCACGTAGAGCGCATTGCAGTAGTCCAAGCGAAAGCTAACCAGAGCATGCACCACTCTGGCGAGACAGTCCGCGGGCAGATAGGGTCTCAGCCTGCGTACCAGATGGAGCTGGTAAACAGCTGCCCTGGACACAGAATTGACCTGTGGCTCCAGGGACAGCTGCGAATCCAAAATGACGCCCAGGCTGCGCACCTAAACCTTCAGGGGCACAGTTACCCCATTTAGGACCAGGAAGTCATCCACACCAGCCCGCCTCCTGTCCCCCCAAAACAGTACTTCTGTCTTGTCAGGATTTAACCTCAATCTGTTAGCTGCCATCCATCCTCCAACCGCCTCCAGACACTCACACAGGACCTTCACCACCTTCACTGGTTCTGATTTGAAAGAGAGGTAGAGCTGGGTATCATCCGCATATTGATGGACACCGAGTCCAAACCCCATGATGATCTCTCCCAGCGGCTGCATGTAGATGTTGAAAAGCATGGGGGAGAAGACAGAACCCTGAGGCACCCCACAAGTGAGAGCCCATGAGAGTATCCATTTTGAGAGCTTGTGTAAATTGAAATATTTATGAAAATAAATACTGATTACCTGATTATAACCAGACAAAGGCGACTAGGTAGTAAAATATGTTAAGAATATTTCATAAAGCAAAGAAAACCATATTTCATCTGAACTGAATTAAGTGCATGTATACCATCAGGCAAATTTGTTTGCTCCAGTTGCAATAGAAACTGCCGTTTTTGTGTGTGAATGTATGAAAACATGCAGTTTTTTGATACTTGCAAGTATAATCATACTTGCAAGTTAAATGCAACATTAGGGAAAGAATGTCTGCAGAGGAGAAAAAGTGCCCAGCGAGGGTGGAGTTTAAACCTTCTCCTATTCACTATTCTCCCCCTTTCCATTGTCTCCTAGCCATATTTCTTTCTGTTGTTCTAGGCAGCTGGGGGGAAAGGAGAAAACCACTTGAGAGAGAAGGAATTGTGGATGAGAACTGGCAGGGAAATGATTAAGCACTTTTCTTCTTGGCTACTTCCTACCTACTGTTCTACTCTATCTAAATATTGGAAGAAAACATAAAACTGGAAACCCTGTCTGAGTCTTATTATGTAGTTCTGGCCTAAGGAACTACCAAGGGTTGAAAATCTAACCCCTTCTCTTAAACCAGTGTGACCTCCGACGGCGGTGAGCGTCCTGGGGGGTGCCGCTCCTGGCGATGTCACCCCCCTCAGGGGTGACACCCAGGGCGGACTGCCCCCACCTTGCTCCGCTACTGCGTGACATACCTCTGATTGCAGCGACCTTGTTTGGGTCTAGCGTCCTGCGTCCTCGAGCCCTTGTACCCATAACACTACATAGCAATGTTTCTTTTGGGAACAAAACCCGGACCAAGTAGCGTGCAGCATACTTTGGCACGGTCTTTTGCCACGCTTTCATCAAATAGTTGCCAAGGACCTTCACATTCCGCTTTGGATCACCAATGAACTCTAGATAAAGGAAAATATTAGAAGAGTATTAAAACAAAATTGCACTGCACCCACTGCAAGTCCTCCAAAGTGCCATTCTGGGCTTCTAACATTTCACAGACATGGCCCACGTGTTTGGAAGCCCCCCCCCCCCCCCCCGTTCAGTAAAGACACAATTCTTCTAATCTCTTAACCATGATTAAGAAACTGGGAATGGGCCACAGACTCCTTACCCCTTCTCCTGCAGCACATGAACTTCCCCATCCCTGCTCTTTTCACAAATAACAGTAGTGCAGTATTATTTCTACCCAGATAGTAATGCTAACCATCCTTGCAAAGTCTGGTTGCAAACTTCAGTGAGCTGTAGGGAAAGTCTCCTAAATATTCAGTCAAAAGAATAACACTCAATAAAAAAAGAAAAGGAAAAGGATGCAACACAGAAGCACCTTTTAAAACAGTGCCAGGCTGAGTGATGGACAGGGAAATGGTTGGAGGATAGTGGCTGCTATGAAAATACAACCTGCCATTATGCCCTTGTGACGCCTCCACCAAAGGGCAGGTACAATAGGGATGCCTTTTGCCTTTATGGAGCAGGAAGTGAGAAAGCAGAACATTGGTGCTATGAGAAACAGTGGGTGGCTACCTTTTCAGTTTAATGGAAGAATCCCTGTGCATGCAAAAGAGTGGAATTAAAGAAGGAATTAAGAGCTAAACACATTATTCTTATGAAAACTGTAACTCACCAAAATTATGACTCATAGAAGAAGAAGAGGGTACCTCGTTACTAATATCTGTACCACCGGTTGACGTTCTGTAAGTTACCAGCGTTTTTTTCCTCTCCAAACTGGTTTCAGATAATATCACTGGTGAGGGTACAGCTGAAGATTCTACCTGAGCTGGACTATCAGTAGTTGAAAGACTAGCTTGTGAAGGAAGGTCAGGCATCTTATTAGCTGTAACTGGAGCATTCAGTGAACGACTAGAGGCAACTGCTGAACTGGCAGAAACAGACGATGACGAGGGTGGCTCATTACGAATACCTCTACTTCCAGGTGAAGTTTTGTTAGTCACTGTCCTATTGTTTCTCTCTAAATTAGCTGCCGGTGGTGTAGATGCTACTGATGACACCACTGGTGAGGCTATTGCCAAAGATGCGACAGTAACAGAGCTTTTGTTGACTAAGGTTGCTAGATTGGTTTGTGAAGGAATATTAGGCATGTCACTAGCCATGTTGAATGGGGGACACAGTGAACGGGTGGAAACAATTGTAGGAAGTGGTGGACTCTGCCTGTGCACAGGGGGCTGTGATTCAGGTTGAAGGGTGTGTGGAACTGGCTTAACCGCAGATCTGGTCAAAATAGGAGCTCTTTGTAGCTTAACCTTCATGGGTTGGCTCTGACATCCATGCCCAGGGGGTAAGATCTGACTTGGCTTTCTTTCTGTTGCCTTCTGGATTCTGATTTTTCCAGGTAAGAGATTTCTAGGACTTCTATACGTAAACCTAAGTGGTCTCTGAAAAGGAGAGAAAAACATTGAGCAAACACTCCATTTTGCCACACTGCTTGGCATTAGCCCCATTTGAAAAAGTGGAGATTATCAGGTGAGCACATACTGGAGGCAGGAGTACTCAAATGCTATGCTTTGAACGGAACTGAATTTATATGTTCAGATTTGTTTTGCATCATGTTTTGTTAGCCATCTTAATCATAGTCTACAGTGGTACCTCGGGTTAAGTACAGTGGTGCCTCGCAAGACGAAATTAATCCGTTCCGCGAGAGTCTTCGTCTAGCGGTTTTTTCGTCTTGCGAAGCAACCCTATTAGCGGCTTAACGGATTAGCGCTATTAGCGGTTTAGCGGCTATTAAAGGCTTAAAGGCTTAGGGGATTAGCTGCTAAAAGGCTATTAAAGGCTATTAAAGGCTTAGCAGATTAGATAAAGGGGGGGGGGAGCGGAAAAAAATCTCTAGACTCGCAAGACATTTTCGTCTTGCGAAGCAAGCCCATAGGGAAATTCGTCCTGCGAAGCAACTCAAAAACGGAAAACCCGTTCGTCTAGCGGGTTTTCCGTCTTGCGAGGCATTCGTCTTGCGGGGCACCACTGTAGTTTATTCATTCCGGAGGTCCGTACTTAACCTGAAACTGTTCTTAACCTGAAGCACCACTTTAGCTAATGGGGCCTCCTGCTGCTGCCGTGCCGCCGGAGCACGATTTCTGTTCTCATTCTGAAGCAAAGTTCTTAACCTGAAGCACTATTTCTGGGTTAGCGGAGTCTGTAACCTGAAGCTTATGTAACCCAAGGTACCACTGTATTTGTAGCTCAAGCTATATAAAGTTATTTCAGCAACTTTGAAAAAAGTTATACAATATAGGCTAGCCTTTTGTATGCAAACATTAGGTTTATGTTTTTGTGCAATGTTTTCTTATTACTATATACACAATCTTGAATTGTAATAGAAACCAAACTTGGGCCCTGTTAGGTGTACTGTGCTATCCCAAGCTGTACACAGTTATGTGCCTCTGGTACAGGGTTAGGGATGCACAGGATGTTAGGATATTTCCGTTCCACCTTATAAAGGACAGGCTGTTGTGAGTCACAGCCTGCGTACTTCCGGCTCACAGGAAGTTTCTGTTTTTGTATATAGTTTTTGTTTCTCTCTGTTGCCTTGACATGCAGTCAAGCAGTCATGTTCTTCCTTTGTTCTGACCAACGCTGAATAAATCTGTAAATATGCTGCTCTCCTGAGTGCATCTTTCGTTGTGCAAACTCTGCAAAAAGGGCGTGCATGAGTCCTGGGATGTGGACAGCTATTTCCGAGGCTCGTGTCGCTAATTGACTGATACTGTATCTACGGGAGATTGATGGATCGTCCTGAGACGACGTGGAGTCATGATGGCCTTTGTCTCCCTGGCAGTATCCCAACACAGGGATGGGGGACCTGTGCCCTAGAGATACTGTTAGACTACAGCTCCAATCACTCCTGACCACTGGCTATGCTAGCCCATCCCTGCTCTAGTGCATGGCCAGATTAGAAGCTTAATGCCATTTTTAAATTACAATGAAACACAATAAGAAAGACACCATTAAAGACAATTAGAAAATTAACAAAACATCAACAAAAACTAATTGCAACTACAGCAATTTAATACTCACTGGTTTTAAAAGTAAAGGCTTTAACCGGGTGTGTTGCATTTCTGAGACCTTGCGATGAAGGCTCTCAAACTTCTCATCCAGTTTCAGAATGGCATCATACATGGCCTGCAAACATACATTTATTTATGTCAGATTGGAAGAGAGATTCAAAGCCAGCTGGAACTCAAGGGAGAAGACCAAGAAACTGGTGCCTAAACAGACCTTGTTTTGGAAGAACTTATAAAAGCAAGGATGGAGAACCATTAGTTGCTGGACTTAAACTCCTGTCTATCCCAGCCAATGGTGAGGGTGTAATGACATTTGGAGGGCCACACATTCCCTATCCATGACAAATGGCTTCTCAAACAAACAATGAAGGACGACACAGTACCTGACAATAATTAAGGACTTCCATAAGAGTTTTCTGCTGATCTCCTGCACATGAAGCTTCAGATACAACACTCCCCTAGTGCAAAGACAATGAAAATGTAACCCTAGTCACAGGAATAATTGGAAACAAAAATGATAAAATAAAGCTCTCAAATTTAAAAGAAAGCAGTATTTTAATTTGCGCAGTTCCTCCTACAGAGAGGCTATAAATTATTTTTGGAAGTATACATACACATTCATCATCAGGGTCGTATTCATAAATAACATCTCCATCTTCATATTCAGGCTCTTTGGCTCTCATCTAATAAAGATATTGAAATAAAGAATATAAATAACATAAATTATAACTGATATGGCACTTATAATCATTTGTTATTATTGTTCCGTGGGCTGACTAAGAAAAATTATTTTAATCCATACTAAGTTTTGTTAAGAAAAGCAGAACGCTGGTGCCACGCTGTGGATAAGAAATTCATTACATGGAAACGATCAATGTGCTCCACAGATACCGCTAAGAGTTCATAGAAAGACAGTAAGCAGGGCTTATAGAAACAGTTTGAATTGTTATATTTTTGTGTCAGTTATTCGATAAAAGTTTATACAGTCATACCTCAGGTTACAGACGCTTCAGGTTGCGTTTTTTTGGGGGGGTTACAGACCACTGAAACCCGGAAGTACCGGAACGGGTTACTTCCGGGGTTTGGAGGTCCTCGCATGCGCAGACGTGCCACTGCGGGTTGCGAATGTGCATCCTGCACGGATCACGTTCGCAACCTGAGCGTCCACTGTATTTTAATGCTGGGATAAGCTGATTTCAGTCTTTTGCAGTCTACTTAAAAAACAACCCCTAAAACCCTAGAATCTCTGTGACCCGAATTAAGTTATTAATCTGAGGTACCACTGTACAAGTAATTTATTGGAATATACTTACCCCCGTTAGAGAGGATGCAAGTCGGCGCCTTTTACGTAAATAAACTAATTCCATTTGTTCTGGATTGCGACTGAGCCTTGGCGCACTTGTTGAAAGATTTTCCTGTGATCCAGCTTGCTCCTCTATATCCAATAAATCTTCATTACCTTCTAAAAATGTAAGTTAGGCAGTGTCTTAATAATGCCTTAGATACCACTCAAGAAAGATTTAATTTAGTTTTATACCCCACTATCCCAATTAATTAGTCTTCTCATAGAATGCTACATTAAAAAAGTATTTCTAGAAAATCTGATTCACTGTGGGTAAGATTTCAAATCTGGCACTGGAAGGGTAGAAATCTGGAGGTCACAAGTTTTGGCTTGGCTACAGTACCAAGGCCAGACAAAAATTATGCTTCCCTAGATAACATCGCTGAACCCCCTATATGAAAAGTCATAATCATCTTTCAAAATGAAATTAAACATAATTACCATATGTAAGATGAGTTACATAGCGACCATCACACTTCCCTTGAGTTTCAGGTCCATTTTCTGTATCTTCCATTTCTGAATCATCAATTATTACAGTGTTGTCATCATCTTCAGTGTGCACTGCAATATAGCCTAAAACATGTACACAGCAGGGGAGATGAATTAGATGCTATTAAGTACAGTAGTTTACACTTCTCTGTATAAGCCCAACAGCCCAATGTATCTACAATAAAAGCCTTTTATTGAACCATATAGTAGATTTTATGTCTACTTTACTTTATAATTTAACATAACGTAAATAAAGCAGCCTTCTCTCCCCCCCCCCGCCCATTCAAGTTAATGGAGGAATTCGGTTGACTTGTACTACAATCACAAACCTCCACTTTCCACATGGAAAGTGAAGGTCTAGAGAAAATGGCTTTCAAATTAAGCACAGCTGCACATTGATAAGTACTGCTCCTCCCAAGCAGTTATGACCATCCAGTCACCGAGAATAAAACTTCATTCCCACAGATTAATTCTTATTCACCCAAGGTTAAAGAATAAAGATGAGGTGGGGCAGGGGGGAAGTGTAGTGAACCTGTTTAGCAGGTTTGAAGAGACTCACAGTTATAATAGCAATAACAGTGTGCAGCTGATTCATATGGAAACGCACAGTAAAAGAACAATGCAATAAGTTCATCTTAAAAGTAGCCTGAAATATCACAAAATAAAGGGGCAGAAGTTAGGAGCATGCAATGTGTGCATCACACAAAACCAAGAATCAGCACTGTACTGTACTTGGTGGAGGGAATGCTGGATTGTGGATTGGACCCAGGTCTTGCACCACTCATTTACTTCCTTATTAATTGTTTGGGGTACATTTCACTTTGTACCTATTAGAGCTGCGCTTGCTTCACTTTTCCCTTGTCTCCCTTTTTATTTTAGGAGGGAGGCTTCGGGCAAAAAAACAAAAACAAGACTTTCCAGTGGTCATATTGGAAAGGATGATGTGTTCATTTGACTTTTAGATTATGCAAAGCACATGCATAGGCTTGCCCAATTATGCTCCTAATTGTCTCCTGAGTAGATTCCCCCCACTCTCACCAATCTATTGAGCAAAGCACAGAATCCTAGTTTGACCTGGATACATAAAATAGGAGTTAATGAAATGTCTTATTGGATGCTAAGACTTACAGTACCCTATCATTAGGTATGAAGCACTTAAATTTTACCACAAGAATAAGTGTACCTCTTTTAAGGACACAAAACCCAAGGATCAATGACAGCCAAAGAAAAAGACATCAGAACAAAGATGACAGCTGTACCATTCAATATGGCTCCATTCAATGCTTTTGCGGGGGAAACCCCCTTTTTTAAAGGGAAAAATGTGTGTACTAAACACCCACCCACACCCCGACACTTTATTTTTTCTGCTGCAAAGCAGGTCCATGCAGCTGCCTTGTTTCTGGAGTTAGAATGACAATACATGGCCTAATACTTCCTCATTTTTTAAAATGTGATCACAGTAACCACTATGTTTTAACTTTTGTGTTCAACATGGGTGTGAGACAATTTCTTGGTATGAACTCCCACCACTGGCTCTTTGGGATACTGTCTGGATGTCCTCATTTTATCTTATTTGTTTAAATAATTGTTTGAAACAACAGTTTGGAAATGAAAGGAAAAAAATTAAGCACCTTTGGATGGAATAATTTCACCTTTCCATTCTTGTTTTCAAAGACACCTTACAAAGTTATAGGAAAATTAAGCACACCACAAAGGTATAATTTCTACAACTCTCAGGAAGCTGCTGTTCTGAGCACAGGACTGGTTTTAGGTTTGATGAGGCCCTAAGCTACTGAAGGTAACGGGCCCTTTATATGTCCAGCTGTCCTTTGTCAACAGCAGCTGTTTTTTTGTGTTGAATATATGCTATATGGTAATTTATGGACCTAATAGGTATCTAAAGCCATTTGCACATAACAGTTAGGAGCCTACACAACACAAAACACTGTTGCTGTGTGTAGATTTTATTTTGTTTTTTATCTTATATTTTGGATATGTACATCCAGATTTTTTCCCCTTTAAATTTTTTGGGGGCCCCCAAGAGAGTGGGGCCCTAAGCTATAGCTCGTTTAGCTTATACGTAAATCCGGCACTGTCTGCGCAGTCAGAACGGCCCTTTTACTCTCAGCTTTAAAGTTTAGATGGACGACTGCGCTGCCATTGTACACACAACTGAGCGATGCTCATTTCTGAGGAATCACACGTAAGACCGCTCAGGGTGGCTGCAGTCTTGTGCCCCATTGAGCACAGAGGGACACGGACCTGCGTCTCCCCGCCCCCTCCGCACGAGAACGGCTTCCTCGAGCCACCTGCCGTGCAAACGGCTTCCCGGTGTTCAACGGCAACGCACGCGCACGCGCAGTGGCGAGGGAAGCATTTTCGTACATGCTCGGTTCCTTCGCGTAAGACAGCTACAGAAGGTGGGCGCCCGCGTCCTCCCCACACTCCGCGCTCACCAAGGTAGCGAGATTTCATTATCCCCTCAGTTCAATAAGGTTTTATTCGCCCGCCAAAGAAATCTCCTCAAGCCTGGCCTCGTTTCCCCCGCCCGTTAATCTCAAGCAGTCTTGGTTACCCGCCCCCCCCGCACAAGAGCCGACGTAACGCTGACAGACAAGCGCGCTGCGCAATAGCAGCGCCGCTGAGCACGAAGCGGGCCAATAAGAGCTCAACACGGAGGTGGCACCTCGCGAACGGCTCGGCTGCTTGAGCAACGGCCGTTTGCGCGTCCAGCCGTTGGAAACGTTCCGTGTTTGCGCATGCGGGCAGGCGGCGGGTGGGCTCCCGGCTCCCTGTCCGTTTCTAGCTTCTTACCTTTGGCAGACATGGTGCCGAAAGAGAGGAGGAGGGAAGGGGAGCCGCGGACGTTCGCGACGCGGCGAGGCCCAGCGACGGAACAGACCCGAAGTCGGGACGCGGAAGCGACTGCGGCGACGTGAGGCACAAAACAGTTTCGGTTACCCTTGCGGCTGCGCAGTGGGGACTTGGGCGCGTCTGGCAAACGGGCGGCCGAGGGAGGGCGCGCTGAGGTGGTGGCTTCGCCTGTCCCTTACAGCGTTTGCGGGAAACGGCCTTGAGAGAGCGCCCTTCCCTCCGTCGCCTCTCCCACCCCACGAGATTTCAGGATGTGGTGACGGCAAGCACACGCTCAACAGGCTCTGTTTTCTGCGGCACGTGCAGCCGTCGCTGGCAGCGCCACTATTCCCTCGCTGCTCACTTGGTTCGGTTGTGAGGGGATGGCTGAGGGATTCAAGGAATGAAAGAAACCAGTACCTTGCTTATAAGAGTTGTAGGTGAATGGGCTCGCCAAGTTGCTTGCCTATAAGCAAATACTTACAGAGCACGAAGTGTTCTCTCACTGTTTTCAGATGTTGTAGTAGACATTATCTTAGGAGAGGCTTCCCTGAGTTAGGAAATGGGCCTCTTTTAAGCTAGTGCTTGCAGCCTGCAATTTTCATAAGTACTTACATTCAAAATGATAAAATAAGATCCCTTGGGGCGGGTGTGTGTGTTGTGAGTTCTTCTCAAGTATCCACCTTCCCATAGTACAGTGGTACCTTGGGTTACATACGCTTCAGGTTACAGGCTCCGCTAACCCAGACATAGTGCTTCAGGTTAAGAACTTTGCTTCAGGATGAGAACAGAAATTGTGCTCCAGCGGTGCGGCAGCAGCAGGAGGCCCCATTAGCTAAAGTGGTGCTTCAGGTTAAGAACAGTTTCAGGTTAAGAACAGACCGGAACGAATTAAGTACTTAACCTGAGGTACCACTGTACATATAAGACACATAGATAATTTCTACTATTTAGCATTTAGCAACAACAGAAGATTGAAATGTGCTGTTTTTGCACAAAAATATTTTTGATCACAATTTGATTTTGTTTTTGATTCCTGACAAGATAGACATAAAAGGGAAACTATGGGAACCGATGTGTGATTAGTGGGGCTTTCTTTCAGAGATTATTTGTAGCAGTGAAAGCCCTAAAATCTAGATTTCAAACTTTTTGACCGTAGCTAGCCTTAACAGCACAGAAGCCACTGCATGTTTAGTAAGCAATAACTTGAACAAAGGCTTGAATCCTGAAGTCATTCACTAGAGAGCAAGGCCTGTTGAAGACAGTGAGGCTTCTGAGTCTGAGTAAACATGCATATGATTGCATATACCCTGGAAGCTGGCCATTTATACTTGGAATGGTACAAAAGGACAAAGTAAAATCTGAGTAAAATAGCTTTTAAGAAGCTGGTTTTGGTGTTTTAGTTTGATTTTGTTTGTTTGATATCACAAGTGCTCAGGGTTGGGTATAGCAGTAGTAAATTCAGAATAATAAAGGTGACGGTGTGTGCAAGTGGTATGAAGCTGGGGCTCTGCTATTGGTTGATGAACACTTGTGTAACTTTACCCTCTGCTTAATTTTCTTGTTTCTAGCACGTATCTGTTAGAAATGCTTTGTGGCCGAGTTGGGATTTTAACTTGCATCTAATGGTCCTAATCCAAACTCCTACATTATAATACTGAGCAAAGATGAAATCTGAACAATGCATAATGAATTTGTGGAATCTGGTGCCACAATAGATTATGATGACCTATAGCAAGAGTAGCCAATGTGGTTCCCCCCAGAAGTTTTTGGACTACAATACCCACGAGCCCCAGCCAGCATAACCAATGGGGAGGGATGATGGGAGTTGTAGTCTAACATCTGGAAGACACCACATTGGCTATCCCTGGCCTATAGTTTAGGTGGCTTTAAAAGGGGATTAGACAAATCCTTGGAGGAGTCTGCTGCAATCATGTTCTCATGTACTTGGCGGTAAGTCCCACTGAACTCAATGGAAGGAGCTTCCTTCTGAGCAGACATACAGAGGATTGCACTATATGACTTATCGTTGGCGATAGATCAGGAGAGCTATCGTCTACTTCCGGGTTTAGAAGAGGCATAGATTTGAAGCACAATCTGGTAAGGAGCAACTGTAAGGAACGACCGTTGCTTTCATGCCCCTGTTTGTGAGCTTCCCAGAGACATTTGGTTGGCTGTGGTAGGAAAGGGGATGTTGGATCAGGCAGACCTTTGGCAGACCTCTTGCACTGATTGCAGTGAAGCGAAGAGAATGGAGCAGTTTAATTGCAGTCACGTTTATTTGCCATTTCTATACACACTTCCTAGATAATCAAACTTTTCTGACACATTTTAGAGAGGGGGTTCACAATGAAACTGTCACTGTTTTTACTAAAAATAAATACAAGACTTAAAGTGTTGCACAGCTCTAAAATATACAAAGGCTTGGATTTAATGTAAACTTTGAAAACATTTTACAAAAGAAACCATCTTTGCAACAATTTAAAAAGTTCATATTTACAAATATTACAAAAATACAAAATGGATGCAAGTCCATAAACCATTGTCTCTTCTGCCAGCATGAACTGGTGATAGTACCAAAATAGTTACACTGTAACCTTCTTAATTGGTTTTTTTTTAAACTTTTAAGTCATAACCTACAGTATTTCTCTAAATCTGCCACAATTGCAGCAAATGCACTCTATCAGTGACCTTTGGCAAATGCAAACATATGCTTTATTTGCTTCAGCTAATCCATATTCTCTATGCTGCCACAATATTAAAATAGGAAAGAAAAAATGTTATTGAAAGAAAAGATCAAACAAACAGCTGCATAACTTCAAAAACCATTCTTGTAACATCAGTGCAAACAACATAATTGAAAGTTGGAATGATGGCTCACAAATTACTTAAGTGTTTATACCCTGTTTCAAGATGGGATGTGTTTTGAGGGCTCTGACGACACTACTTGTGAGCACAATCCTATGCATGTTTACTTGGAAGTAAGTCCCACTGCATTCAATGGGGCATGCTCTCAGGAAACTGTGCATAAGATTGTCGATTTAGGTTGTTTTTATCTCCAAATTTTATCACCCTGGTCCAGAGATCTATGCACTCATACACAGGCAAGGAGCTATTGCTGGTTATTCCCATTAACGTCAATGAAAGGGCATCACTGTGTGCATAAAGTTATGCCCCATCCTCAGTTCTAACGGGAGCAACCCTTGTGGGCAGCAGAGCTCCATTTGCCAACCATCTATTGCTGAATCAGGGGTTGTTTGCCAATATATATATTTTAAAGTGGATTTACAATCCATATTCATTTGGGCTTTTAATCTGATAAACAGAAAATAGAAACACTTTGTCATAGATTTTTGAGTAAACAAAATAAGTTTTTTATATGATAGTTTTGTGAGCATTACATAAGAAGGTGTTTCACTGCCTTCTAATTCAAGTTGCATGTATTTTTTTTAAATATATCTCTCTATATTTATATAGCTCTCTGTGGTATCAATACGAAATCATTAAATGCCTTGGAGTGTTATCCACAATGGAGGCGTTCGCCAGCCTCAGTGCACTGTGGATGGCACCTGCAAGACTGACATCTTGGAGAAACCAATTCAGCTGTTTTCTATAACAGTTTTGCTATAAAACACATTAGCATTTTTTAAACAAATGAATTTGGCACTTGGATCCTAAACATGTGGTGGTGATATTTCTGCCTGTGACACTGAAGCAATGCCATTGGTGATGCTCCATTGTTAGCACCAAGAGTTAAGACTCAGTTGTCTTAGCATCAGGCGTTTGTAAGGGTACTCTGGCAGTAATTGAAAAGTGGCCTCAAATGGCACTTGTGCCTCCCATATCAAATTTATTATATTGTTCTTTTCTTTTTTTTAAACTACATGAATCTTGTCAACCCACTAATGCTTTCTACTTCACTTGCTATTTGACCACTTTTTAGAGCTTGCTTAGTAGCTCTATTAGACTGCAATCCTGAATACATTTCCTGGGAGTAAGTCCCATTTAACTTTATGGGACTTACTTCTGAGACAACATGCATAGGATTGCACCATTAGACTTGCTTGTAATACTAACTAACACCTCTCTATTACACATCCCTACCAAACATTTAGGTTAGGTTTTGCTTATAGCAGTCCAGATCCTAAATGTCTGCCCCAGCATATCTACCTACTCCGCCTCCATAACATCTCTGCAGTGTGCCAGAATGTTGTCATAGTTAGTGACAACATACTGGCTCAGAAGTGCAGATGGCCCATCCTAAATCTTTATTTGCCAGCATGGCAAATTTTAGAATTGGACCAGTGATTTCCTGTTCTCACTAGTCTTTTTACACACATGCTTACCATTCATCTTTTGCCACACTGGAGGACTATAAGAAAACCTAAAAAAAGAAAACCTTGTATATTTTTCACGAGCCCCTGATGAAGATGAACTTCAACAATTTGTGACTAATTTTGAATGTTATTATTTGCTCGATCATTTCAACTACAAACAATATATTTAAGCTTATCCTTATGAGCAAACTAAAAAGTAATCCTCCCTCTGCTTTCCACCCCTTCTAAATTCCTAGTAAAACTTATTTCTGCTTGAAGCCAACTTATTTGTAGACTTACTAGTGACTATCAACTTAATTCTGCCATTTGATTCAATCTGTCCTGCACAACACATTCCTCCTTAAAACTGCCCTCAGCACTAAACCTTCCTGCATTTGTATTCCACAGTTAATATCAATGGACTGCATTTTAGAAAACTGGGCCTGAATGTCTATTTGATTTTGGAGTCTATTGCAATGGGGAAACTGATGCATCTATGGAAAATATTCTATTCTAAAAATAGTGACATTGTTTTGTGCATATGAGTGTGTGTTTTTTAAAACCCCTGTTGTACTTGATCTCATATCAATTTGTTTTTGCTCCTAGTTTTCCGACAAGAAAATTCAAGTAACTTCAAGTAATCCAGCTTTTGTTTCCCTGCCTTCATTTATTCAAAGTATTTGCTTGGATTCCTTTTCTACCCCACCCACTACATATTCCCACCCTGTTAAGCATTTCTGGTAAAGCCAGGACCAAAAGAAACTGAGCTGTATGTGGCTGGCATAATAGACCAAAGAGCTTCCCCATTCCAAGTTTAGTAAGCTATATAAAGTATGCATACATACACCTATTTCTCAGCTATTCTTTTTCACAGTGTCATTTTCTAAATATTTAGGTAGCATGAATGTTGTCCGCACAAAGCTTCACTGAAAAGTTGTTACACAATTTTATTGATGAATCAAGAGCATTTGTTGCATGCTTAATAGTTATTTACTTTATGAACATGAAACTAATCTTGTTTCAAGATTTACGTTACCAGGTTATGACTAGGTCACCCAACAGCCTAGTAGTAGTAGTAATATGAAAACATTTCCTTATACTTGCCCCCTCTTTACAGTCATTGTTCAAATTAAGTGTCAAACATCAGAGTAAAGTCTGACAGCTCATATTTTGCATTTAGAAGAGGGGGAGGTGTTTATTTTCCTATTTAAAGTGTGCTTTTTACCCGAACAATTGTTGTTCTTGTTCTTGTTATGGTTATGGAGGCACTAGAAACTTAAATCCGTTTAACAGATGTGGCTTCCCCCAAGAAATCCTGGAGTTGTAGTTGTGTAATGGGGTTAAGAATCTCTATGGCATGTGTGGGCAACCTTTGGACTGCCCCCCCCATGCTTCTGAATTTTGCTGTTTACATGCAAAGGAAAACGCACAGAGGGAATCATCGTTGTGAGCCTTCCTTGCTAAATAAATTGCACTCTCCATAGGTTGCCAAATACAATGGGGAGGAAGATGTCTGGGAAGAGAAAATAGGATTAACTTGATTTAAGAGACTGATATTATTCTCATTCTACCAACTGCAGTCTGACTAACTACACTTCTCTAGATTCTTGGCAGGGGATTGGGAGAAGCCTCAACTGCAAATCTGGTTTATAAACAGTTTGTATTTGTAGTGCCTGCCAATAAGCCTCTTGCCACAAGCTGCTCTTCGAAATTAGCTTGTTTGGAACAGCACTTTTGGAAAGAAAATTGATCAGATAATATCAAATTAATCTTATAATAATATTTTATTCAGATTCTCCCAAATTAAAGGGTTAAATTTGTGTTAGAGGCTTTCATTATTCAATTACAAGTGGTAGATATGTAAATTATGTTTGATATTAAAATTGTATTCACAGAATACAGTCAGTACCTTTTTTAATCCTTTTTTTGTCTTTCAACAAGGTTATCGTTTGCCACCAACCAATTTTCTCTCTGATAATTCTATTTACACATGTTTATCAAAAATATGGATATGTACATCTGTTTTGTTCATTTCTTCTAAATTTTGTTTCTGTTCATTTTAAGGTAAAAAAATACCAATTCCTCAAGCAATTTAATGTTTTTTCCCTAGGGAAGCACAACAGTGAAGGTAATGTTTTTGATCCTAAATGACATCTTTGGAGGGGCAGAGGGAATTCTGAAAATTGGATAATGTAAATCTACATTGACAATGAGAAACATGAAGACAAATGAAATGAAAGTTAACCATTTAGTAAATTTCTACTTATAGAAAAATGTGAAGTAATAAATAGCTACAGATCATCTTCTCATCTCCCAGTCTCTTAAGCAACCCTTAGCATTTTCAAGCATCAATATTGCCCTGCATGGTATTTGACTGCTACAGAATTGGCCTTTTATAGTCAGGTGAGCCAAGTGATTGCAGAGTCCTCCCATTTAACAGTCAGAAGTGTGCTCTGGCCCAGGTGTAGCCTATGTGGAACTCTGAGAAGATCGATCATCATGAGGACTCCCGTCGGAATTCTCAGTCTCTCCTTCGGAAATGGCTTGCATCGGGGTGTTGTACAGTCTGCAGCGGACACTGTAGCGGCTACTGCTGGCTGCCGGGGGTGCCCGTGACCGCCCCACTCTTGAAGATGCTGATGTTGGAAAGCTTTTTGAGGAAATCCCTTCTGCATTCATTCTCGGAGTGGAAGGAGAGAGAGGAGCTAATGCCTCGGCACTTGATGAGGCTTGGGGAGACTCATCAGCATTTTGAAGAGCATCCCCAATTAGTTCTCCAGGAGATTTGGGTGAAATAGGGCTCTTTAGTATCTCTGTGGCTGACATCCTGTAGCTAGAATCAGAACGGCTGCCCTTTTTCAGGAGCAACAGTTTGAATTCTTCATTAGATGTGTTGGACTTTTTGGCGTTCCTGTAAATAAGCCCAGGAGATCGCTGGCTGCTTGCTGGGCTTGCTGCACCAGTTGTAGGGGGAACATTAGTTGAAGCTGCAGGTGATGTGTTGCTGGCACTAGAAGACACGCTGCTAGTACTAGATGAAGCTCTCAATCTGTTCCTTGCAGAAACCTCTCCAGAGTCCTTTCTTCCAAGAACTTTCCTTTTTGAGCTGTAATGGGGAGGGAAGAAGCCATCATATTCACAGCTTTGATACCTATCTCATACTGTTTTTGCTGAGCAAGATCACGAGATATTTGCAATTATATAGACAGTAAACAGTGTCCTCTATAAAACTGAACTATATTAATATATTTACCAGTACAGTATAATGGCTTCTGCATCTGTGCATTTACAGGAGAAACAAATATAAGTGAGCAATGCCTAACAGGCTCAGAAATCACAAGGGTGATGACTAGGATTCCAAGGGTCAGGCTTCATACAGCTCCCTGTCCTCCATTCAGTAGAGAGGGGGATGAGCTTCTGACCAACATAGGAATCTGAAAATAATTTCTGTCCCGCCTCAAAAACAAGTAGGGGGCGGGGAGACCTAGCAGTGCTATTGCAGATCTCATACATATATGCAGTGCTTTTTTTCCTAAAAAAATGTTTAGGTATACTCTCATTTTCCTACTCCTATTGAAATACTGCCCCTCAGTGAAGCCAAACTTAGATTCACAAATTGTTTAGGGGTATGCGTACCCCTGCGTCCCCCCCCAGTAGAAAGCACTGCATATACGTGCATATGTCCATGCATTTACACAGCCCTCATGTAGTCTTCAGAGCAGGTTCTTAACAGCAGCTGGAAGAGGTTTTATTGCAAATCCGCTATGTCTGCACCAGGTTTGGAAAGTCAGCCTCTCCTATTCCTGTTTCCTCTCTTGACTGCTATTTGGACCTGTTGATCCAATTTTTCCTTCACCCTGTCCTCAGTTTAACTCCCAGTAACAAGGCTGTTGCTCATGAATGACAACTAGAAAAACATAAATGAGGCATATCATGAAGACCATTACAAACATTCCTGTGCAGTGGATTGAAGAATCCACATTTCAAAGCTAGTAGTTTATCACCGCTGCTCTGAATAGTTGATTGATTTACTTTAGGTCTATTCCTATTGCCATGAAAATAGCACATTTGCTGTTTTTAATAACCCTAAAATGAGCTTACCGGTGAATAACTGCAAATAGATCCTCTGTTGTTCGAGGCTTATTTGGAGACACAAAAGCTTCTTCTGCTTCAGCTTGAGAATCTTCACTTAAGGGTGAGAATATGGAATCATCACTTGGGGAAGATTCTTCAAAACAAAAAGAGAAGACCTACTGAGACTTAATCAAACGCTTTCCCACACGTTACAATAGAGCTGGTTAATGTAATCTACTTGCTCAATAATTAATGGAGCTGCTAGTATAATGACAGGCACTAGACAATCTAGTCTAAATATTGGATGATCTGTCAAAATAATGCTTCGTTATAAAGGGTTACTGCTCTTTTCTCAGCTGAACTGAAATAAAAAGAAATGCAAATTCATTCCTACACATATATATATTTCTGCAAAGCATGGTAGGTTTTCTCTCTCTCTGCTGAAAAGTATTGGCAAAGCTCCATTAAAATAAATGGAGCTGTCAGCTGGCTGATCTCTGTGAACTGCCACCACAGAAAGCCATCTCACTCAAACAGAACAAAAACAGTTACGAACGTACCTTTTAAGACATCATCATCTGGGGTCCTTTGTGACTCAGCTGCTCTGCTGTCACTCTCATCAGAGGCACTTTTGGTTGGAATACCTGACACAATTTCGTTTTCCTGCTCAGATGATTTTTCACTGAGTGAATCTACAGTTGAGATCTCTGATTCATAGCTGATATTCCCAGGCACTTTGTCATCATGTTGACTTGGATCAAGCCGATGCTTTAGCTGATGACTAATGTCTGTTCCCCCACCTGCGGGGCCAGACTGGGACATAGTTTCATGTATAGGTTCGTATTCCAACTTTTGTTCACGGTATGCAGGTAATTCTTGCTGAAGCTGCACAAGGTCAAGACTCCTCTCCTGCTCTGATCCATATGTGGTTCTTTTCCCAATAGAATTGCTTGAAAGGTCATCTGAGCCTTGTGGAAATGGTTCAGCAGAACTGCCACAGGCTTTACTTAGCGTACTCTCTAGTAAAAAATCATGAACCCGATGCATTTGATCTGTTACATATTTAGCTGTTGGAGCACCCACATTTCCTGAGGTCACCATCTGTTTGCAGGTATTCTTTTCACTGAAAGACAAACTGTTAGCCATGTGAAGTTGTTCTGGGGTTATCTGTACTGGAGATACATCAACATAGGACACAATGGCCTCTTCCATGGAGTATTGTCGTGATATTTGCTTCTTGCTTACATGTGGCTTCATTTTACCAGAAATGGCAGTAACCAATAAAGTGTTTCCTTGAACATGGAGCTCTGTATGATCTTTTTGTTTCACTTCTTCAGGCTTATTAATGGATCGAAGATGTACAGACTTCAGAACTGAAGGTGTGATTGCAAGGGCTTGTGGAGGATTGGAGTTCAGTGCTTCTTCTACCATACTTGGTTTATTGTAATTAAAAGCATGTAGTTGGTGTCTGTGAGCATATGGTTTATTCAAGACATTATGAAGAGCACTTAGGTCAAGATGAGTAGGAGGTATAACTGGAAGTTCTAGATCTTTGTTTAGAGATATGTTGCCATCTTTAGAAGAAGGCTGTTGTAATGAGGACTTCCTTTCTGGTACTTTTGGCTTTCTTTTACTCCCCCCTGGGGATAAGGGCCCAGAAAAGAAAGCTGTAGGAAAAGATGATGTTGGTGTTTCAGACTGACTTGAGTAACCACTTGAAGGTGAAGCTAAGCCAGCCAACTTTTCTGGGGAAGCCAATTTGAACTCGTTCTCAACAGAAGGGAGGGAGGGAGTGGTGGCTCTTGATCCAGACTGTGACGTTTGTGATTCAGAACTTTCTGGCGACTTTATGCATTCTATGACTGTAGTACCCGTAGCAGTGCTAGAATTGGATAAAGACCTATAAGGGTCATTCGATTTCAAGTCATTTAAAAGCCAGAGATCTGCATAGTGAGATTGTTCAGCACCTTCGTCTTTAAAGGATGGGATGTCCATGGTGTCAAATGGAGGGTCTTTTAATCCACTCTCCTCCTGATTATCCCAGGCGAGTTCCTGCTTGCTTGGCAGACTAGTGTTTTCTGCTCTCGAAGGTGTGTTTGAAAACTCGAGGGGCAGCTTCATTTCCCTGGAAGTGTGAGGCATGTGCTGCTGCCCACTGCTTATCTTTGGTTCTTTCTTCTCAGGAAGATCTATGCTGCTGTCAGATTTCCTTAAAGATGAACTGCGTTTTGGTGGGGCTGGCTTTGCCTTTGGTTTCTTTAGAGAGATGCTCTGCTTTCCTTGCCTCCTATGGTTTACGTAATCCTGCCAGGCGCAGTTAGTGAGATTGGAAGCAACGCTTGCATTCTGGCCACTCTCGGAGCCCACAGCTGCATAGTTACAAATATAACTTTTAGTTCCCTTGAGACCACAGTCAAAGTGCATGGAGGTATAATAGCCTTCAGTGTCAACTGAAAAGTGTGAGCTACTGTCTGCTTTGTCTGATGGTGTCTTCTCTATAAAACTATCATATGTGGCCATGCTTGTAAAACTTGGACATCCCAGACTGTCTGTCTTGGGGCGTTCAGGGCTGAAATCCTGGCGGCAGGATGCATCGTGGTGGTGATGCAAGAAATTCCATTCACTGTCACTCGTGTTGCTGTTATTAGGGTCATCGAGTAGATCCGCTACAGTGGAAGTGAACGAACTTGTCCTGTGTCCTCTAACTTTATCTAGCTGATCACTGTAGTGTTCGGTTATGAAGACACTAGAATCTTCATTGGCATTAGGGGCAATGTTCAGGGATAATTCTGAATCACAGTGTGAAGAACCAGTCAGTGGGGGAGAGGCAGCAGGAGGAATTGTTTCGGATGTTTGGGAAGGACATGTTGAGCTGCTTCCACTCCAGTTCCCACTGGATGACTGGTGATCATCTTTCTGGTCCATGTGGCTGCTAAGAAGAACCCCAGCTGTGGAGATGGAGTGAATGGGACTTCCAAAGGTATCAGAGTTTGATGAAATATCACAGCTTCCAGAATCTGCCATCCTTGACAACCTTGACCTCCCCCTCTCATTTGAATTACAGTCTGGACTATGAAGATGCTGAGAACAAGTTAAACCTATGGGATGGTGTTCTTGTGAACACTGGGTATTGATGACATCTTTACTCTTTGTGGAGATCCTTTCTTGGCTTGCTAGAAAGTGTTCTGCATCATATGCTGACATTTTGGCACCAGAGTTGTGGTCCCCTTCATTGGCTCTAGCACCTTCACGAGGAAGACTCCTAGATCTGACGCGGTTGCTTACTGATGTTGTAAACATGGGGTCACCATTGTCTGTCAGCACCAGTATGTTGCCAGCTGAGTGAGACAGGGAGGCTACTACGCTCTGACCCCTCTGAGCTCGAATTCTTCTCCGGGATGGGGCAGCAATAAGGATTTCTTCTGTCTGGCACTCAGAGTCTCTGGTACCTGACCTCCTGTTGACGTTATTAGAGAAGTCTGGATTTGCATGCACAATCACATTCCGCTCTCTTGCTACGGGTGATTCGTCAGAATCTAGGACACACACAAAACTCTGTGAGGCACCATTTCAGTTGGCTGACAAGCTATGTCCCTTACATTGGCCTTAAAAATGCATCACATAGGGTTTTTCTCCTCCCTGCCCAAGCCTTTCAACAACAGTAACTAACATGAAGAAAAAGGATTTGCTATGGGCCAAATGAGATGGTTCAAGCAGATGTGCTTGAACATTATATCCCTTGTTCAACAGGGAAAGCTGCTTCGGGGGGGGGGGTCTGTTAGAACAAGCAATTTGCATCAGGAGTGAGTGCCAAACTCATCGCTCCAAGTCATCCCCCTCCTTGGTGGCTTTTCCTTTGAGAAGTACAAAATGCAAGGCAATAAGCAAACCACCCTTATCTAAATTCTGAGTATTTATTATATTATGATAGCTTGAATCTTCAGTTCATTGTCTGTCATTGTACAACAGATGTGAGCTGTGTACATACCATACATTTAAAGGACATTTAAAACTCACAGATCCCTCCAAAGAAAGGAACTACAATGCCTAACAAACTACAGTTCCTGGGATTCTTTGGGGAAATTCATGTGCTTTAAATGTATGGTGTGTATGCAGCCAGTAGAAAAAGTCTGTGATTCTTAGGTCTAGTGGACTTGACCCTGATTACCACTGACTTAACATTTGTATAGAAAAGAGCCAAGTCAGCACATCTCATGTATGTTATCATTACAATTTTTTAAAAAAAGGTCGAGACAAACGTGAAAAGAGGAAAAATATTTGGGAAAGTTTTCAAACATTGAGAGCTATCTGGCACAAATATTCAACTGGTCTTCTGTATAAAATCAGTGACACTTCACCATCACGTTGCATCATATCATTTGTCACTGCTTTACCTTATGGGTCCCTTGGCTACAAGAATAAACTTTCACTGAATCTAGTTACTTTTTATGTACACACTATGGGTATCGAAACAAACAAAAATAAAAGAATACAACAAAAATTAAGTAACTCATTACACTTAAACAATAAGGGCTGGACACGTATATCTATATTACTCAGTAAGGCCTACTGTGCATCAAGACTGAAGGCTGTAATAAGTAATATAGTTTGGCTGGCAGTATTTAATAATAATAAAAAAGACAAAACAAAAAATAGCAATACCCAAACGCATTAGATTTGAAACTCCACCATCATTGAAGTTGAAGTGTTCCTTGGATAGCAGTTTGGAAGGCAGGCTATTGCTGCAATTAAGGCAGTTAAGAATGCTATCTAGCGAAGAGTTTTATTGATACTACACCTATTTCTTGTTGGACTCTTCTGGGGATGCCAGAGATGGTTTTCCTCCTTCTCAATTTCCGTCTCCGCTGTAGTACGGATTGTGAGTGAACAAGAGAGCAGCGTATACTAGCCTCTCTGTCAAAACCAACTCCTGCAACCCATAAATAGGTCTCATTAGCTTTTGGAAATAGTAAACAAATTTTTATGACTGGAAGACAGTGGAGGTCATGTGAGCACTTTGGATTGTGCCTGCAAATAAATATAAGGCAGACCTTGTACAACTCTCATGGAAAAAAATCACCGTGTACCACAGCGTTGCTTCTATGATCCCTGTTCCCTCTGAGCAGCCTGCGTTGCCAAAAGTTACAAAAGGTAGGAGAGGGGAATGAAAGGGATGCAGGGAAAGTTAGGCACTCTCATTAGCAAGGAACATTTACTGTAATGGTTTGTCCATTTATTATGGATATACAGGCATTGACATCTATGAAATGAACAGTAGCATTCAAGATGATGATCAGAAATTGGGCAGCTGTACTTTTTTTATTTTAATGCTTACATTGCAATGAAATTGTGGGGAAGCCAAGGGGCAGTTGCAAAAACCTGAGTCCAGCCTATCTTCTTATACCGCATGTTTCAGAATAATGATGGCTCAAGAGGAGGATGCAACTAAGTTTTCCCTATATCAGTCCTTAGAGAACATTGTTGATGCTGAGACATATCTAAATGTTCACACTGATTTCATGGTTCAGTAATTCTAAATTAGATTGGTAATGAGTAATTACCACCAGTGTTTAATTGAGCTGAATTCCTAAACTAATGCTGATACTGTCATTACAGAGCAGCCACATCACTTACGTGTCATTACATCACATATCTGTTTTTACCTTGTAAGGTTGTCCTGTCTGACTTCCTGTTCGCTGTATAGATTCCTACATGTCCCTTTCTCCCAACACCCTTACGTTGTCAACACATGAAGAACAGGGTGAATGTTTCCAGATGCAAGACATTGTCGTTGCAAAGGGCATTTGCAAAGTGTGAACTAAAAGTAAGATTCTAAAAAAGAGCAGTCTTCTTCTTATTACAAGCTTTCTTCATCATCACTTCTAATGCAAATGATATCTAGTATATCCATGGTACATAGTATTTCCCTAATTAATCTGGGAAGAGATTATCAACAAATAAGAACAGTGTCCTCCACGTAGAAGCTAGGTAAGTCAGACTATTTGTCCCTCCAACTCAGTACTATCCGCTCTGACTGGCAGGGTGCTTTCCTGTTACCTGCTTCTTAACTGGACACAGATAACATGCAAAAAACCGAAAAAAGGCATTACTGGAGTAGATTCAAATTATTTTTACAAAAATGTGTTATGAGTCTAAATAATTTGTTTTTCACTTGTTATTGGAGACTAAATTTTAGAAACAAATCTGAAAACCCTGCCAGCTATTCATCTGGCTAAAAATGCATTTACAAATTAAACACTGTGTTTCCATTTAGTAATAATAAACCATCCGATGTTACAGTAGATTTCCTTTCATCAAAGAGTTATAACTTGGCAAGGATCCCTTCAGAACAAATATGTCGGGGCAGTAGCTATACATGAAGGTTCTCATGGTATAATTTGAAAGGCAACAATATGAACTAAAAGTAGAGAGGAAGGGAATAAAAACCAAAAATCTTGATTCGAAAACCTGTACTTTCAATGCTGTATAATTATATCAACCATAATTATACACAGACATACACATACAGAGTACATTACATACAAATGTAAAACACCAAAAAGTAACTTTCTTGTAAAAGTTCTTCTTGAAATCTACTACAGGAGACCCCAGACAAAAATCCTATATTCCAACCATCACCAACACCACTGCAATAAGTGAACAGAAATCTTTAATATTGAACAAAAGCACTACGACACCCTACTGCCTTTCATTATTTTAGAACAAGTGTTAATGCATTGGGAGGGGGGAGAAGAAAAATAATGGTTCTGAACTTTTCAAGATGTTCCGGCAATTCTGTTATTTGGAAACTTTTAGTGATATCTACAACAACTGAACAGAATAATCTCTAATAGCTTGGACACTAGAAACAGATTTTATTACAAGTTTTTAAAGTGGTGTCATTGTGAACCTATTTTTATCACAGAAAAAAGCCACAGCATTTCTTGGAGCTTTCAAAAGTGAAATTTGTGCCCTAATCCTAAACACATTGGCCAGCATCCAAATACAGTGGTGCCTCGCAAGACGAAATTAATCCGTTCCGCGAGTCTCTTCGTCTAGCGGTTTCTTCGTCTTGCGAAGCAACCCTATTAGCGGCATAGCGCTATTAGCGGTTTAGCGGCTATTAAAGGCTTAGCGGCTTAGCTGCTAAAAGGCTATTAGCGGCTTAGAAAAAGGGGGGGAAAGCGGAAAAAAAAATCTCAAGACTCGCAAGACATTTTCGTCTTGCGAAGCAAGCCCATAGGGAAATTCGTCCTGCGAAGCAACTCAAAAACGGAAAACCCTTTCGTCTAGCGGGTTTTCCGTCTTGCGAGGCATTCATCTTGCGGGGCACCACTGTAGCAGCAAAACTATCTTTGTGAACTCAAGGTGGTTTTAGACTTATTAATCTCAAATAATAACCTACTCACTATGCCATGTGACAAGCTGATTTGAAATGATGGAGGGGCAGGGGGCAATGTTAGCTAAATTTCAAGAGCAGTTTGTTATATGATGCTGGGATCAGCTATTCAGAGAAGTGTCAAAAATTCAACTAGGCAAGACCAAAATCCAAAAGTGAGATGGCATGGTAGTGGTTTGTGTGTAATTCCTTTTTGCAAACCATTTCTCCATTCAGAATCAGCCCCTCAAAACTACTTCCCCATCTAGTAAGAAATAAAATACAGAGTACAGTCGTACCTTGGATCCCGAACACCTTGCAAGTCGACCGTTTTGGTTTCCGAACCCCGCAAACCCGGAAGTGACTGTTCCGGTTTGCGAACTATTTTTGGAATCGTCCAACGGGGCTTCCTGCAGCCAATCAGAAGCTGTGCTTTGGTTTCCGAATGTTTTGGAAGTGGAATGGACTTCTGGAACGGATTCCATTCAACTTCCAAGGTACGACTGTACTCTTCTGTTCCGCTCCCTTTTGTAATGTCTGGTTTGGTCCTGAGCTGCTTTATCCTTATATGTTCCTTTATTTTTGTCCATTCCACATGGCAGAAAAAAATGAGTGTCTTAAATGAGCCTAGTATCCAAATAATTTGTGGCGGGGGCGGGGGGCTTGGCTGGGGCAGGGAGCAAAAATTGCTCATCCTTGAAGCAGTGTATAAATTTGCAGCATGAGTTTAACCACATTTCTGCTTGATGATATGTGCAATTTAAAAAAGAATCCACAAAGAATGCTCCAAGAGAATGGCAGCTAAGAATATTCACATCCACCATCTGTTATCACCATGACATCAGATGAAGTGTTTTCCCTTGCCTGCGTGGTTTGATTTCAAACTATGCAGGCAAAGGAAATGGGATTTGCAGCAACCACTGGTCTGCAAACCCCACTTCCTTTGCCAGCACGGTTTGATTTCAAACTGCTGTGGCAATGGGATCCTTTCCTTTTATGCATCCTTTGCATGTGCAATTTGAAATACAACCGTATGGGCAAAGGAACCATTTCCCTGTAGGGTTTGCTGTCAATGAGGCATGCTGTCGGTACCGATCACCTGATTGGTGCTGATAGCAAGCATTGTTTGGGACAGGATAAAATCAGGAGTGCACTTTAAGGCTCCCAATTATTTCTGTGCAGCTACGCCGTTACTTGTCTCACACTTTACATCACATATGATGTTAGGTGTGTGACAGCTGACTGTAGTTTGGGCAGAACGTCCACACACACATATTTGATCCCCCCCCCTTTCTTACAGAAATTTCAAAACACAAATTCAGATAAATGGATACCATGCCCCCTGATAATTCCACAAGCCCAGTGTAATAAATTTTATCACAATAGAGCACAAGTATATTTTGTTCTGGTTATTCAACTTGCCTTATTAGCAAGGATAAATGTGCATATATTACTTGGAAGGGTAATATAATTAACTCTCCTAAGCACTTCTGCTTTTGATAGACAAGCTTTTTAGGTGAAGACTGCATGGATATTTCTATTTAGTGTAATGCTCTCACCATGGAATGAGATAATGAACCAACAAGAGAACTGGCGAGTTCAGACATAGTGCTTAGTAAACCATGGTTTTGCCATTTTGAGAAAAAACCAGTATGAGTCTCAGACTTCTTAGCTGCTCCTCCCTCCTCTTCCTTATTTGGAAAGAAATCAGAAACTTCTGCTTTAGAACTAACCACAGTTCCCTGATATAGCAAAACTTAGAGGACAATGGTTTATTTTAACTACGGTTAGTTAAAACCAACTATGGTTAGCCAAAACCATCCTTCCTGGTTTGTAAACTAACTGCCATTCTTGGAGGTTGGATATAATGGAGAACCAAGGTTGTTTCTCAAATGAAAGCAGAAGTTTTCAATTTTCTTGCATATGAAAGAAAGGGGAGAGGAAGCATGTTAGCCCAAGGCTCATCTCATAACAGGGATGTAAGACAAAAAAAATATCTCAGGGCTTTCAGAGACAGTTCTTCTGTAGGCAACCATGGCATCTTACTTCAGATATAACAGCACCAGTGTTGATGGATACTCATGAGATTACCAATATAGCTTGTTTGGGCTGCAATCCTATGCACATGTACCTGGAAGAAAGCCCCATTAAACAAAGTAGAACTGACTTTTGAGTAGACATGCATAGGATTTGACGGTTGAAGCTATAAAGCTTTGTTACATTCTTGCCTTGGAAACCTTACATTTGCTGATCATAAACTCCTGTGTTTAGAGATATGCTCACCGTAATAAAATTAATGACTTGAACCACCTTTTTGTCAACAAAAAAAGAAGTACAAGAGATCTGTACCAGTGACATTGATGGGGATAATGCAAGAGGAAATCACTTGGGCATCTTGTTTCATTTTCTCCTCTGGAGTTGGGAGAGGTAGTGCTTTGCTCCAATTGGTTTGCTTATCCAGTGTAGAAGGGATATTATGTATTGGATTTTTCGGCCTCTGCCCTAACATGACATCTGTATCTTCTTCCTCCGGAGGGTGGGACTGTAAATGAATACAATCAAAATCAGTATCTACTCTTTTTACGAGATAAAGTTACTTTTTAAAAATACCAGAAAAAATAGATTTGGAAGTAGGTTTCAGAAAAGCAGTAATGAAGAGCGCGTTGCAATTTCAACACAGGAAGTCAAACTACCTCACATACTGGAAACATTTAGGAGCTGTAGTTTAAAATGGATTTTCAGAACATGGAAACAGCTTCCAGTCAATGCTTAGCTTCTGCAAAGATGTATCCTGCTACATATGATCCATATGTACATGCCATTTTAGCAACTTTTTAGTAAGTTTTAAGTCCCATTATTGTATTTAGTTTGATAAACATATACTTGAATAAACATATCAAATCAGTTCCATGCAGACTTTCTGTCTATCAGTGTATAACTGACACAACAACCCTGGCTAATCTTGAATAAAATTACTTGAAGGCAAGTTACACTGGTTTTAATGGAATTCAGCATTATCCAAAATATTGTTTGTACAGAAATTCAGTGGAACTTATTCCCAGTCAGATGGGTTTAGAATTGCAGTTTAAGAGCCTGATCCTATCCTTGACTTCAAAGTAAGTCTCACGAATATTAATGAAATTGACTTCTAAGGAAACATGGGTAGGATCAGGACATATGTTTTATATCACACAATAGCAACTGTATACTAAAAAAAATGAAAAAGCAAAGGTTGAGCCACCACCTTCAAGTCTTAAGAATAACATTCAGAAGATCATGCAAAGTAATTCAGAATGTGCTACCCAAGCTACAAGGCACAAAAGATAAATAGGCACAAAGAGAGATTAGTTAACCAACTCCAAGAATAACTTTTTGAAAAGAGAGCAGGACTGGCATGCTTTGTAGTTTTACCAAGTGAGAGTAAAAGATCAGAAGCAGTTTGTTGAAATCTATGCTTATTGAGAAAACAGCAATTACTTCAGCAACAGGGCAGAAATACTACCTTCAGAGCTTTATAAAGTTCTCACTCTTCCATTTAACTGGTTACTGTTATTTGTACACAGCCCTGGAGGTATTTACTTCTAAGCATTTTCTGTTCTAAACATTTTCACCTCTTGTTTCCATTTGTTTCCATTTCCTACTTTGCTAACATGGATTTTCTGTCCTTGGCTCTCATTTACTCTGAAAAACTTGTAATTCTTTTAGCTGTGAGTTAAAGGGCCAAAATTTGCTTTTATCTAGCGCGCTTAATATTGTACTATTTTCTAACGGATAATCACCTTCAAATAACTATAGTTCTCTTCATAAATAAATATCTTAACAAGGCTGAAGGCCCTGAATAGGCTTGCAGGCATCCCTAACTTCCTACATGTACACTGAAGACCACACTTCACATCTATTTATATAAAATACAAGCAAGTCACTTGCTTACCTTGTTGAATCATCTGCAAAATAACCCACAAAAAAATAATAACAAAAGGAACCAGTCTTCCCCCAAAATATTTTTGTCCATCCCTGGGTTAGGAAAACATTGCAGCTTTCTTTATCGGTTCTGCTTTTGTGCTGTTCCCAGCAGACATGAATAGCTCATATAAACTACTAGCACAAAAGACTTTGTTTCCTAGGTAACCTCTGAAAAAAGTTGATGCGTGCAAAAAAAAAAAAAAAAGCCGGTTGGGTGGGGGGAGAGACCCACATAGCCTGTACTTTGTTGCTGATTCCTTCCCCTGCATAACAATAGCTTTCTGGACAAAGAAAGTGAAGTGACCTGACCACAGACTCCCTGACTGTCTGCCAGTGCTACTCTTTAGCAAACAATAGCAATGATAACAGTCTATAGAACAAATTCATGCTTTGCTCTGCTATGGTTTGGATGTCATCTTGTGGTTATCCAAAATCTCTGTCTAATTCTTTTCAGCACCCTACAAAAAACCCATCAGAGACAATTTGGTTGGGCCCTTTAAAACTAATTAGTGAAGGGAAACCCTCTTGTGAGCTGGTAAAACCTATTAAACTTACACCAAGAGGTGGGGGTGGGGAGAAAAGTTGGTGTTCCTTGTTGATAAGAGCATAACATAAAGACAACAAAGTTAGTCAGCCAAAAAAAGCAAGCGAGAGAAAGGATTAGGGATGGAAAGGGACAGAATGAGTGAGAGGCTGTTATGTTAGTCTTTTTTCTGATACCTTTCGACTCCATGGGGTCATGTGGCAACACTCGGTGGGGGAGGGCGAGCGGGTGCTGTAAAACTATAAACATGAAATGTGGAGGGAAAGTGGTTAAAAAAATTAAAAACACATAGCTGAGAATGTTTCTGTGGTGTGGGCCAAACTCTTTATCAAGGCCGGACAGTATTGAATTTAAAATGTATCATCACTGCAAGCTGTAGTCATTCTGCAAAATTTTACTCATAACGTGTTGTCAATCAGAATTTGCTCCCTGGTTTTCCATCTGCTTAACTTCTACACATGGTGGTTGGTTAGGGAGGGAAGTTAAGTGGCATTAATCACATGTGCAGATTATTATTATTTTTGCCACACCAGCCTTTTGATAGCTAACAATGCAGCCCTTAAAGCAACATATGAGGCTCTACCCATTGGCTAAAAGGCCCTTTGGTGTTTCTTGTGGTTTTATGACACACCAACATAGAATTTTAAAGATTTCCCCCCTCTCAAAAGTACTTCTCAAACCTTTGAAATATGTGTGGGGAGTCTTAAGATTTTTTTGTTTCCCCCCATCATCTTCTATGATGGTTGTGTTGTTTATTTATGGATTTTATTCAGGTTGGATTTTATTCTGTTGAAACAGAAACATTTCAAAAACGGCAAAAGAAATTAGTACACTTTTGGTAGTAGAAATGTAAAAAGCTTTAAATGCATAACTTTAGGGCTAGCTGGGGAGTCTCAGAAAACTAGTGATGCCACCAAAGCTGCTACTCACCTGGCTTAGAATACAAATTTTAATGCCACGTCATAAAATGTACCCAGATTAACACAAAGTGAAGTGCTTCTCTAGCTCAGATCTTAAGCTGAGGTGCTGTACCGTTCCTGATACCATGAACGGCAGCATTGCCGGCACCTAGGAGTGTGGCACTCCCAGGATACTTTCCTTAGTATGGATGTCAGACACCCGGGACATGAATTATTCCAGAACACTTGCACCTGAGATACTGTAATTATGATTAGCAGGTGTCCTAGGTGCCTAGCAGTGAGACCTCATAGTCGCTACCAGTCAGGCAACTGGGATGGGAAGGGGCAGCTGCATGGGAGAAAGGAGTTTGTGGAGGATTGTGAAGGCCCATAGGCAACTGAGGAGGGAGTTTGACTCCTAATGATGCCAAGAGTATGTATGGCAGGGTTCAACTTTCACAACTGAATGTGGAATTAAACATTTCTGAGCACAATTCAAAGTGTTGGTGTTGACCTTTAAAGCCCTAAACAGCCTTGGCCCAATATACACCCCATTGTTCAGCACGGACACTGAGGTCCTCCTCTGAGGGTCTTCTGGTGATTCCCTCACTGCACGAAATGAAGTTACAGGGAACCAGGCAGAAGGCCTTCTTGGTAGTGGCACCCTCCCTGTGGAATGCCCTTCCTTCAGATATCAAGGAGATAAAGAACTACATAACTTTTAGAAGACATCTGAAGGCAACTGGGAAGTTTTTAACGTTTGATGTTTTACTATGTTTTATATATGCTATAAGCCGCCCAGAGTGGCTAGGGAAACCCAGCCAGATGGGCAGGGTGAAATTATTATTCTTATTCTTATTATTAATCAAATTAAGTTTCTAATTTGGGCAAGCTGGGGGACATACCTGAGCTGTAGTCTGAGGGGAGTTCACTTACCGCTATGGAAAACAGGTTTCTGAATATGGATTGCTTTCAGCTCAAGAGGCTGTCAGAAAGGTTTATGACAACAAAGTCTAGGTAGATCCAGATCTACAGGATGGGATACATTATGTTTTGCCTAACAAAACACTTCTCCAGTAGGCTTCTCCTGTTTACAGGATGTAGGCTAGCTTTCAATTTTTGAACTACCTGCCTACTCAGATGATAACAATATGATAACATAAGAAAGGGGGGAAATCTAAATAATCTGCTGGGGAAATTGGTTTCTATTTCCATCAATTCTGAGACTCACATTTAGCATTTGATGGACTGATGGGATTTTGAGTCTGGTTGATAGTGTCCCTACAAATAATGAGTATTTGAACTCCCAGAGCCATTTTTCCAGAGTATTTACTAATGTACTGACATTGCCAGTCACACCAAATGTATCTACAGCCTGATCAAGGAGCCTCTGGATAATCTGATGTATATTTAAGTACCGTATTTTTTGCACCGTAACACTCACTTTTTTCCTCCTAAAAAGTAAGGGGAAATGTCTGTGCGTGTTATGGAGGGAATGCCTACGGGTGGCATGCCTACGGATTTTCCTCCTCTAAAAACTACGTGCGTGTTATGGTCGGGTGCGTGTTATAGAGCGAAAAATACGGTAATTTATTTGACAATCTGGACTTGTTCAGGAACCCGTTGTCACCAAAAAAATCTAAAAATAATATGCCTCCTGATCAGTGTTTATGGGAGTATTTTCATTCATTATTAGTTTCTATCAAGAAACATATTTTTTAGTCCATGTGCCATTGGATGCTCTATTGAACAGAACATTTCTATTCAGTTAAGCTTCAGTTTAATAAACCATCTGATATGGCAAACTGAAGCTTGTGCAAGCCCTGCAGACCATGGCTAGAAACCATTGTTTCGAATTTTGGTCCCCAAATTTGGTTTGCAAAGCTTGTGGAAACCATGGGTTGCTAGTTTCCTGTGTATACAGAGCTCCTTTGCAGCCATTTCCCCTTTCCCTTTCTGTGACCAGATGAACAATCCAGCATTCAGCATGTAACCATGGACTACCAATTAAGCCAGGGCATAAGGGCAACTTTAAAACATGACTTCATACCCTGACTTGTTTTGAAGCCATCAGCCCTGTAACAGGAAACTGTGGCTATGTGCTGAATTGCGGCTTGTTCAACAACTACAAATGCATTGAATGCTGCTCGTGTACATCCTTGGCTTACAGTTGCATGCAAGCAGAATAATAATAATAATAATAATAATAATAATAATGTAATTTATTACCTGTACCCTGCCCACCTGACTAGGTTGCCCTAGCCACTCTGGGCAACTTCCAGAAGAAAAGAACACATGATATATCAACATGGCCTATGTGTGAAAAAGGAGTACAGTCGTACCTTGGATCCCCAACACCTTGTGACTCAAATGTTTTGGCTCCCGAACTCCGCAAACCCAGAAGTGAGTGTTCCAGTTTGCAAATGTTCTTGGGAAGCCGAACATCTGCCACAGCTTCCGCAGCTTCCAATTGAGTGCAGGAAACTCCTGCAGCCAATCGGAAGCTGTGCCTTGGTTGTCAAATGTTTTTGGAAGTCGAACGGACTTCCAGAACAGATTCCGTTCGACAACCAAGGTACGACTGTATATTGACTTTTCAATTAAAGTAACAGAACAGCACATTTTCAGCATTTAGCCCAGAAGATCATCTGTGTACTTTGGCATAGTTTGTTAGTGTCTGTCTGTGTGTTTGTGCGCACATGTGCATGTATAGATGCAATGTTACAGTGGTGCCCCGCAAGACGAATGCCTCGCAAGACGGAAAACCCGCTAGACGAAAGGGTTTTCCGTTTTTGAGTTGCTTCGCAGGACGAATTTCCCTATGGGCTTGCTTCGCAAGACGAAAATGTCTTGCGAGTCTTGAGATTTTTTTTCGCTCCCCCCCCTTTTTCTAAGCCGCTAATAGCCTTTTAGCAGCTAATCCGCTAAGCCGATAAGCCTTTAATAGCCGCTAAACTGCTAATAGCGCTAATCCGCTAATCGGGTTGCTTCGCAAGACGAAAAAACCGCTAGACGAAGACACTCGCGGAACGGATTAATTTCGTCTTGCGAGGCACCACTGTATGTACAATGTTATGTACTGGGATCTGCTCATGCAGAATTAGTTCACACTGTAAATGAAACGGCACACTTTGAAAATGTGCAATAAAGTAAGAGGCAGGATATGACTTGCCCCCATAGGTGGATTTAGGGGAGTGTGACTGGTTCGCCCACAATGGGCACCAAGTCAAGAGGGTGCCACAATGATGAACAACGGAAGATGAGAGGTGTGTGGGGGGGGGAGAGCTCAGCACCATGCCCTCCATTTTAATGGGCTAATATGGCTCCTCACTTCTGAACTCTTAGAGCTGTACCTTTAAACATGAGTAATATGAATGCTAAGCATTGCTCTCCCAGTGGAGTGACTGCATATCGGCTGAACATAGGCCTGTTTTTAATTTTACAGCTTACACTAAGACCAAGGCAAAGAATACTGTAAACATTTTAAAAATGCCTGGGATGGTGAAAGAAACATAATGAGGGGACTGGGAAAATTAGATGATAATAAACATGATTAGTTATTGTAACCACCTGATAATTAGTCTTGACTTTTAAGGGATATCTCTGTGCCTTCAGTAGCAGTATGATAAGAGGTTTAGCAGATGCTGTTTCTCCTGCCACTGTCTGGCAAATCTCTCTCAGCCACATGATGATTAAAGGCAAAGATGTTCTGTGTGGATTAGAAGCTGGCAACCCTTGCCACAATAACCAATAGTATTGGGGAAGAGGAATAACTTACTTTTAGCAAGGGGTGGTTCTTTGTCTCTTTGTTCTTCTGGTTGTAGGTCACAGGGAGGGAGGGAAATGGGGGAGCCACCACAGAGATTTGGCCCAGGACTTTTTGTTCCCTGTTATCACTCCAGTTTCGTTGCTCTGTTTAGCAAAAACAGGAAATAAGAAAATTGTTCAGACTGATGTGTATTTTAAAATAATCTGCCATGAAAAGCCTAAACTTTGGTCAAGATGCAGTTCATGGGAAGTGTGTACATTACTATGATCTCGAGGATATTCATAGGAGGAAGCAAGCTTTGTTACTGGACCAGTTCTCACGTGATGAGGATCCCCATCCTTAAAAGCACTAATAAGAGAAGTCCTTATTTGGCAAAAATGGGCACTGCAACATGCATATATTTGTACACATCCTAACACACCCCTCTCTATCCTACATTTAGGCAAGGAAGAGGCAGTCTCAAAGTTCAGTCTCTTTAGCAAACAATAGCAATGATAACTGGTGACACCCCCATTTATACTCCTTTGACTTACATCCGACAGTGTATATGTGTGGTGCTGGGAAATAAATAAATAATTTATTTCATACCTGGAAATGGCAGGAGAGAGCAGCAGAGTCCTCATGGCTCGTGCGGAGATCCTCTTCAGAGCCCAAAGAGGACATCAGTGTGGGTGGAGGAAGCCTCAAAGAGACTGGAGGCACAGCAGGGCTTTGTTTATGCTGCTGAGCCTCCCCACCTAACAGGTGATGTGCGGGTAGCGCAGCAGTAGCAGCTACTTTCCTGCACCACCTCTAGCCTCCTACCAGCCCCTAGTTGTGGAGATTTTTGGATACATCATTTTTTGTATGGACTGAAAAGACAGCAGCAGAGAGGGCATTTAAAAGATTATTAGAGGGTGCTCCCCACTTAATGTGATTTCACTTATGGGTGAGGGACCCTGGAATGTAACCCCACGTAAGGGGGGAATCACCTGTATTCTAGGAGAAATCACTCAAGGAAAGGTGAAAAGCAGGGCTAGTGAGAGGTATGGCTGGGGAGCAGATACAACTTTCAAAGCCCAGGGCCAGACAGAGAGACCTTGCCATAAGGTGGTAGAGTGAACACCCAGCAGGAACTGAGAAGCCTGATTTCAAGCTCAGCCTCTAAGCTGCTACACTATACCAGCTCTCAACATACAATGAAAAAAAGTATTAGCAGTTTTTTGAAAGATGGCAAACTGAAGTGATATTACGCTTCTCCTGCATATCTCCTCCTCCTCCTTGTACTGGACTCCAAGAAAGAACTAATTTGCACCCCTGGTAGAACATTTAAAACACATACACAGCAGATGAAGACAAATTTTCTTAGTTTTTGAATATAAATTCTGCAACCACCAAGTCACTTGTTAAGAACAAAGTGCAGGTGAGTTAAGGCAAATGGCTCCAAATGATGGATGTGGTAGTTTAGTGGATATCAAATAATTTAAGCAGGAAGTTGTCAAGAACAAATTAACTACTTAGTCTCTCTTGAGTGTTACTCAACTAAGATATACCCAGAGTAGACTGAATGAAATAAATCAAGTTACTTATCATATTGGTTCAAATATTAGCTACCCCTGAATACAGGCCACACCCCTAAAATGAGATATCTTAAATCACGGCTTAAATCACAATGATAGGCTACATAAAAGTTTTATACAAGTCAGATTTGGGTGTGGAAAGTGCAACCTATATTCAGACCTATATAGTAAGTCCTTTGATTTTAATAGGCCTGTTCACCCATTATGATCATTCTGCTGTTTCACTCTTTCCTCAACTTGTTGTCTCTTGGCCACAAGGTGGCAGAAGAAGATTAAATTTAGCCAAAGCAGTTGTGATGTAGACACACAAATGTGTGTATTCTAATTTTAACACTACTATGATTGCATTTTCCCTTTATTTTATTTTTTATATTTCTATGCTGCTTTTTATTCAAATAAATACCAAAGCAGCTTACAAACAAAAGATAAAAATAACATAATGGAACATTATGAATACAGCATAAATTGTATAGAATACTTAACAAATCACCAGTAAAACAACCACAAATTAAACAATTACCATCTATGCAACACTATTTAACAAAACAACTAAAAAAATACGCTAAACATCACAGTTACACCAAAAATCATATTATAGGATTCACAAAGTACCACAGCAGCCATATCTATAAAACAATATTAACAGAAACAAAATCGCAACAAAACAAACATAGCAACAAAACAAACAAACAAACAAACAAACAAACAAACAAACAAGCAACCCCCTGTTGAATTGTAAACCTGCTCTCCCCACCACCATGACTCATAAACTTTCATTCTATTCAATGCATCAAACTACATCTGCAGATAATGCTCCTGGCAGCAATTCCCTTCTGAAGGATTCTTGCGAAGGTGGTGGTCAGCACAAAGACTCTCCCCTCACATCCTTTCTGCCACTATGACATTTCCATTTTCATAACAGAAAAATGGAATACCAGAATAAGACTAGGCTGCAGTTTGGAGGTTAGGTGATTCTCTGACGTGTGTTCAACTATGATTAAAAATACCATTAGTTAACATAGCTACATGATCTGTGTGGGAACGATAAAATACTTGTGAAATCAGATTAGACCCTTACAACCTGTTTCCAGTTTTCTTAGGGAAAACGCCTTAAAAGTATTACACAGATCAAAGCTGATGGAAGACTAATAGGTGCTTGATTTATCTAACAAACCTCAAGACACTTTTGTGTGTGTGTGTTTAAATTTTTCCATGCCTTTATAGTAAAACATTGATCTACACAGTTGCTTCTTCAGGTACTTCACTGCTAGCAAGATCATGCTCAGCATTTTCTGGTGCAAGACAGGGCTTGTCCCCTGTGAGGCAAAAAGCACCTGGAGGGTGAATTTTTGTGGGAAAACAGCAGGAGACAAAAGGGTTACACCCCTCCCCCAACATACATGGAATAATAGAATTGTAGAGCTGCAAGGGACCCCAAGCAAGGCAGGAATCTCAACATGTGGTTCCCCCATCCAATTTAAAACCAGACCAGACCCTGCTTATTTTTGCAAATGTGCTAGCTGGTGTCTCACTTCAATTTACAGCTTCCACAGCATTTTGTAAAAAATAAAATAAAGAATTCCAGAGACAAACGCAGTCATGTGTACTTTTGACTTCTGTCAGAATTATGACTCAGCAAGCAAAAGAGAGTTAATCAAAGGGAAGAAGAGTCAGTTAAGGTAAGAGCTTAAAGTACATGCTGTTCCTGGAGATAGGATGGAGTCTAGTGAAGTAATTGTTGGAGTGGAATTGCTTATACTTGCCTAACAGAGCTGTCATTCCAAAACCTGCTCTGGGGTTTCCTCCACCCCTCTGGAGCAGATTTTGGGGTGTATGTGGGAAGTGCATGGGGGCGGGGAGAAGGGAGGGGAAGTTGCGTTGCACAAATAGAAGTGATTCTGCTTGGACAATGACTTTGTTGGACACCACCTTATATCTTCCGTGAGCTACTGGAATGCAAAGCTGTTTCGTTGACTACACAGAAATTATTTACCTTTCCTCAAGGCTCGCAGGTTCTGCTTTGCATGGCGATGCAGCTCCGCTACACAAGCTGGTCGGGTGGAAGGAAGGAAAATGTTTCTTTGCTGATGCCAAGGGGCGCGATAGTAGACACTCAGTTTACTCTCTGCATCCAGGTTTGAGACAGCTGCAGAACCAAAGAGAAAAGGACATTTAACTCACACACGTAATGGAGCAGTCAAGTCTTTTCAAATGCATCAAATCTGCTCAGAAATCAATGCAACTATTAAAAAAAAGGAATTTTAATTTGAAACAGGGAAGGTGATTTCTGGTCGTAATTCAAATCCATAAGTTTAAGAAATGCCAGGGTTCATGAATCCACCAGATTTTAGAAACATTTTGAAGAGTACCCACTGCCTGTATGAATGAAAAAACAAATGAATGAGGAGATGGATGTGAATAAACTCACTGAAACATTTTGAGAACAGCATGAATAAAATGGATACAAAATTAGACACAGAATAGCTTTACCCTCAGATATATTGGCTTATTTTTATTTATCTAGGTCAGTCAGAAGCATAATGAATTCTGACATTTACTAATAATCTTTAAATTTTTAGAAAGCCACCAGAAAATATAAGACCATTATTATATTAGCTGATCAATGATCAGATTTCATTCTCATTCGCATGATACACTAATAAAAGAAGACAGTAATCACCACTGATTTGCAAACCAAGCAAGTTTCCTAACACACATTTCTGACATTTACCAGTAAATCTCTGAGTAAATTTACATACATTATTGGTATAGGACATTTATGAAGACACACGGGTCTAAATGACAAAAATAAGTTTTGTGACATGGAAGTCTCTGGCATTCACTGGTATAACTTGAGTCTACTAAGCACCTTCAGCAAATGGCCCTATTTCACTTAAAAAAATAATATATTTTAAATACAGAAAAGGCTGTAGCACTATAACAACAGCTTATGTTGCCTTGAAATATATAATGCACCAACTTTGAAGTAGCTTTTCTCTTTTCTTGTACCTTCAAATCCCCCATCTTTGACCACAGTTAAAACCATCACTCTGTATTTCATAATCAAACACTTTCAGGTTCCTGATTACAAGATGCAGGTACTGGCAGAGTCTGGCAAAGGAAGGGAAGGAGCACGGAGGCAATGAAGTTGGTGGGAGGAAGAAGTTGCCAGGAGAAACTAGTTGTAAAGAGATCCTGCATGCTGGAATCTGCAAATGGGAGTTGCAGGATTGGGTGTTTAAAGTAGCCAATGTGCCCTTGCTGTCAACAGTGGCTAATGCAGGTGACCCTGCCATTCTATTAACTGGAGCAATGTAAGAAACAATACCTTAGTGTAGCAGCACCTCTGGAACTCAATGCCTATTGGCACCAGGCTGCTGCCTTCTCTGTACCCTTTTGTGCGCCTAAAAACACTTGTTTAAACAAGCCTATCCAGACATGTAGAATGTTGATGTATGCATTAATCTGTTTTTAGTTTATTGCTGATTCTATCTTTTGAGTGTAATCATTGATAATTTAATTTATTCTCTTTGTAAATTGCTTTGAGGTTTTCCCCCCCCCCCAATCAAGTGGTATAGAAATTTTATTAAATAAATAAAGAGATTTTAAGAATCTGCATCTTTTGTATTTTAACCTTGAATTCCTTGGATGAAATGTGGCATATAAATATTTTATACTGTACTATCATCCTTCTTTCTTACACTTAAAATGCATCAGCTTCTGTCACTGATTGATAGTTATCTACGTACAGGTAGTGCTTTTTTCAGCTGGAGCCCATCAAAGCTCAGTTCTGGCACCTCTTAAATGGGTGCCATTGCCATTGTAAGAGAACAAGGAAGAAGTTCATGGTGAGGTCCAGCACCTCTTTTCCTAGAAAAATAGCACTGGGTACAGGGCACATAGCCAATGTATGTGAACAGCTTTGTCACATGAAGACAGGCACCACATGGACTGGTTTACAGCTGCCCACATACAGTGGCTATGCCTTGTACCCTGGCCCACATTGATGATTACATGCAATTCCCAAGCATGAAGACAAGCAGATTTTCCAGTTTTTCACTCTTGATCATAAACATCCGTCATTCATAGCCTCTGCTCTCAGCTTTCTTCTTCTTCTTCTTTAATACTGTCGCTAAGCTGTGTATGGATGCTTGAAGGTAGTCTGGCTTAGTTCACTCAGGCGTGTTTGTTCTAATAATAACAACACAAAGGCCAGCAAGAAAGATTTCTGCTCTATTTATTTTGATAGATCCAAGGGGTTACCCCCACGGCTCTGTCTGCTTTCCTAGACTCTCACATTTCCCTTTTCCTCCTTTTACAATTTCTCAACCCTTAATTACCAAATGGAGAATATGGTTTAAAAGAATTCTAGCCAGCGTCCCAAGTGAGCAGGTTTTAATGTATATAAATAATAAAATTGTGTGTGTGTGTGTGTGTGTGTGTGATTTAAAAGTCAGGGTCGTATTTTTTTTCAGCAGATGGAGTGCGGTAAAGGATGGATATGTAAAATGTCAAGTTGCCACATTGTAATTGGGAAGTCTTAAATGCATCATTAAAAGGGTTAAGTCCCAGTGCAGTGTAGACATAGGCCCAGTGCAGATGGAATTGAAACCATGGTTTTCTGATTCGTGAACAAGTTGTGGCTCCATCCTCATATCTCCTTTTTCTCATGCCATAGGATATTGGAAGCTTTTATTTCCTTATTTTAAACCTATCATACTTTCCCATTACAGTGGAACCTTGGTTCTCAAATGGTTTAGTTGATGAACAAATCAGCTCCTGAACGCCAAAAACCCAGAAGTAAGTGTTCCGGTTTTTGAACATTTTTTGGAAGCCGAATGTCTGATGCAGCTGTTGGCTGTTGTTTCCAGGGCGCCTGCGCCAGTCAGAAGCCGTGCCTTGGTTTTCGAATGTTTCGGGAGTTGAACGGACTTCCGGAACGGATTAAGTTCGAGAACCAAGGTATCACTGTACATCCTAACTCAGGGGACGGTGGCTGGATTACACTCTAGTTTAGGGTAACAAATCTGTGGCCTGTATTGTTGGACTATGACTTCCATCACTTCCAGCCAGCAAGATCAATAATCAGGGATGATAGGGGTTATTGTCCCAACAGCATGTGGAGGGCCAAAGGTTAGCCATCTATGCATTAGAACAGGGTGAAAGAAAATCACAGGAGGGGTTTTATCTAGAAAAAAGGGAAAAAACAGGAAAGCATGTAAATCACGGCAATGCTTCTAAACTCCTAGCCATGGTTAAGAAATCGGGAAGACAATATCTGTTCTGATTCTTAGATTATAAAAGAAAGAATCTAAGAGTAGTTATGCAAGTACACAAGTTTTTTGTAGACAAGAGTACTCCACAAAATTTGACTCAGATCAATCACTCCCCCATACAAAAAAATGTGTGAGAAAACGGGATAATTCGAAGCAAAACACTCCCCACCTGTTCACAACAGAATAATACAGTACCAAGGTATCAAAAAGCCTACAGACGTAATCTGTGGGTCAGGCAGGTTTTTTTTCTTCAGTGCCACTTTACTCTCTTATGAAGAGTCAACCAGTTGCAATATTCTTCCTAATTAACATATTAATTCATTAAAAGCAGCAAATTCCCTGGGCTGCTCCATTCAGATCTACTAAGCCACTGAACTAGGAATTGTACAGATTATAATTCATAAGCAACCAATGTCTTAACTTTCTCCATACTGCAACGCCCAATCCTGCACCAATACTTGCAGGAGAAAGGGTCTCATTTTTAAAAGCGTGCCCTCCAATTCTGGAAAGGGGCATGTGCATTCTTTAAATAAAAATATATGGAATCAATAGAACATTATGGGAAGGAAACAGGTATTCTTTTACCTCACTGATACAATTTGAAACCCCTTTTAAAACAGTCCCCAAACTGCATCCTGTTGCAAGAGAAAGGCAAAGGGGAAGGGCGAAGCACTTGTTTTGCACCCAAAAGGTATCAGCTTCAGTCCCCCTTGGCAGCTCCAGGTAAGGCTGGGAAAGATCCTTCTCTGAAACTGCAGAAAGCTCCTGTCAAGTCTGTAGACAATTCTCAGAAGGGGCTCTGCTCTGACTCTCTCTATGGCAGCTTCCTATGTTTCCCAAGTCAACAGTATTTCCGTGTCTGTACAAGCCCTAAGCTGAACCTGAGGGAGGACCAATTCTTCCACATCTAGCTGCATGATGAGTCAACAGGAGCACTGTTTGTTTCTAGCATTGACTGCCACAGAATATTGTAAGAAAAACAGAAAATTAATTTCAAGACAGAACCAGTTCATCTCAGATACAAGATAAGCTGGGAACACATCCAACTACATCAAGCATATTAGTGCATAAATGTTTCATGGAGGCAAGTGCCAAGACTGATGTACATTTTATTTATAGCCCAGAATGCCTTCAATGATATTCCCCCCTTGCAGGAGCTTGTGTCTTTTGCTGCCATATTCTGGAAGTTAAAGTCTATAATGCTGGCAAAGCATACACATTATTGCTTGTCATGCATGACCATGCTAAACAAAGCAGTCACTTCTCATTCTGCAGAAGCCACTCTTAAACCTCTTGAGCCAAGGCAGCATGGAATATCCACTGCGATCCGTTAGCTAGAAAATTAGACTTGGATCTCTGGATTCAGATTCTGCCAATAACATATTTTTGTGGTCCTGGGCAAGTAAAGGAACTTATCTCTCAGGCTCAGTAAAATGGGAACAATAGTGACTAATCTCACATGCAGATGTAGGAAAGTGTGGTAAAAATGGTAAAGCACTTTGCAGATAAAAAGTGCTGTAGAACTAGTTTGGTGCAATGGTAGAAATCAATGAGCTAGAAGTAAACCTCCCAATTTGTTGGGTGGCTTTAGGCAAACAGCCATGGCCCAGTGTAGAGGCAATGGGCTTCATCTGAAGCTCAACACATGTAGTTCTGTTGGTGCAACGGGTCTTCCATTTGCTCTCCCCGCTGCACACACCTCAAATATGCTCTGGAGGGTCCCCCAACCCTTTGGAGCTGATTCTGAGGATGCATATCCAGATAGAGGAAACTGCTGTGCTCATTTAAGTCTGTTGTGACAGCAGAGCTGTAGCACTGAATATGGCCCAAGGTCTCTTGATCTCTTAAGCATACTTAAGAGATCAGAAGATCCCCCTATATTTGCAGGGGGTGGTTCCCAGCTCAGTGGCAGTACAGTGGTATCTTGGGTTACAGACGCTTCAGGTTACATACGCTTCAGGTTACAGACTCTGCTAACCACCCAGAAATAGTACCTCGGGTTAAGAACTTTGCTTCAAGGATGAGAACAGAAATCGTGCTTTGGCGGTGCAGCGGCAGCAGTGGGAGACCCCATTAGCTAAAGTGGTGCTTCAGGTTAAGAACAGTTTCAGGTTAAGAACGGACCTACGGAACGAATTAAGTACTTAACCCGACGTACCACTGTACTTTGCATGAAGAACATCTGCGAGCAGGGCTGGGAATGTTTCCTGTTTGAAACCTTCCAGAGCCACTACCTGTCAGTGCTGACAATAATGTGCTAGAGAGAACAACTGTATGATTTAGTATGAAGCAGATTCCTCCCCTTCTTACTTTTATCCTGCACAGTTTCCCCTCCATTCTCTTTTTTTATCATCATATTTAAATCCATATCTGTGGCCTGATGTAGTTTACATAGTAGCCTGATATGTAACCCAAATCACAATTTGCAATCCTGCATCCGACTAGATTTTAAAACAATGGCTCGGCACTAACTATAGTTAGCAAAAATAATCAGTTCTAATTGTCGGTATTTTAAAAAACTGAACTGGATGGAGAAAGGAACAGGGAGGATGAGAAGGTTACGGGAGGAGTGTGCAAACTCACAGGGCGCTTGCATTCCCTAAACCACTGTTTGGTGCTCACCAGTTACATCTGCACTGGGCAGGCATAGCTGGCATTAATCAGGAGTTATAAGACAGCTTCAAATTCTGGTTTCACATTTCATTGTAAAGCCAGTGTGTCAAGACTACAGTGGATTATGGTAAACCACTTTGAGGGTGGTTATTATTATTATTATTATAACCAACCAACCAAGCTGTATATAAATTTTATGAAATAAATAAAAATAAATGATATTGAAAGGGGAAGGGGGGTAGGAAATCATGCGCAAGGGAAGAAGGGGAGGGTACAGAGTAAGTGGCAATTCTATATCTTACGGGGGGTTTGTAAAAAAAAAAAGTTTTTATTAAAGATTTTCTTGGGTTAAATTCTAACATCTTGTTAAGAGACCAGGAAATGTGTTAAGTCAGCACTGGGTCTGTTTCTGTTCCCCCATCTGTAATATATGAGTGGCCTCCCAGGACTGAAAGAGGATAATGTATATTAAGCAGTTAGAACATTTAGAACTATACAAACAAACATATACTTGTATATTATTAGTAATTATCATTTTTAGCAGTATTATATAGAATTTGTCACAGGGAACTATCAATAATAACCTGTGGTGGCTGATATCCCTTGTAAGGTGCAAGGCAAGAGGGCCCGCAGGAGCCATAGCCAATGAAAGGCAGAGGCCAATGACTTCTGTTTTTCCACCCATCTTTCTTCCTGCTGAGTTCTGTAAGGTCAACCCTGAAGCTAAAATGGAGGAAGCAGGCAGCCAAGGCCTGGACTGGTTGTAAGTAAGAAGGCAAGCAGATGAGGGTTTGCTGAGGGCAGGCTGTGGTTGGTGGCACAGTGCCCCAGTTGCCCTTGTGGACCAGCCTCCCCTGGTAATAAATGCACACACATAGCAGCTGCTAGACATGCCAAAATAACTTTCCAGAAGCTTCCGAAGGTCTTCTGGAATTCGTTCATGTCTCACCTCGACGGGCCCATTCCAAGGGCGCTCCAAGCCAGAGCTCACTGAGTCCTGCAGCAGAGGAAGCACGCTGGAACGGAAAGCAGCTGTTCACATCAGTTGAGCTTATGGGCCATTTTATGTGGCATCTGGAAACGCTTGCTGAAAGGGTGTTTTATTTATGCTAATGGCTCTGGGAATGGCCATCTTTGATAACTAAAGGTCAACCAAACCACATGCTTCAATTATCCTGTCAAGAAGCAGGATGCTCTAGCGGGCCTGTTTTTCAACAGGCCTCAACACCCTTGTGGGGGTCCAAAATGAGTTACGATTCCATTCACCTAGGCTGCTCAGCTCTTCTGAAAAGTTGGCCACCGCCGATATATTGGAAGCTGCCATATGTGCAGCCACTTCTTGCTCTTTCCTAGGTGACTAATTAGGGTCTGGTTTTTTTCAAAAACCTGACCAAATTCGCAAATACTGCACAAATACCTGCCTACTCAACCTCTTCAATCTGCAGAACGTGCAGTTTTGCAAGTGCCATATAATGGTGTTCCACATCTGTGAGGAGTCAAAAAAATTATTTAGCATGGCAGCTCTTATGCTTTGGAGCTCCCTGCTTATTAACATTAAGCAGGCACCCTCACTATACTGTAATATGGATATTCCAGTATGCCTACCAGACATATAGTTTCATTACGTATAATTGGGTTTTGCCATTTTGTTGCTTTTATCTGTATATTGCTGATCGTTATTTTATGTAAATCACTGAAATGGGTTTTTTTTTTATTAAGCCATTCAGATTTTTTCTGAATAAAAATAAATAAGTTTTAAAGCCACCCAAGCGCGAACATTTGCAAATATGCCTTTTTTAAAATAAAAAAATCTCCATAGTATGAAGGCTACCAGGGATTAAAACCAGGTTGAGTTTATACACCACATTATTCACATATCCTTTGTCATCGTTTGGTAAACTGAACTGTGAGAAATTGCTATATTTTTGTTTTAAAATCATGTTAAACATTATTGCTGAATTTTGTTTTTAAAATGTTTCATTTATACCCTATCTTTCCTTGAGGGAGCTCAATACAGTGTGCTTGGTTCCTCTCCCATTCTGACAACAGCCCTGTGAAGTAGGCAAGGCCAAGAGTGTCTGCCTCTGGGATTTGAACCTAGATCTTCTCAGTTTTAGTCTGACACTCTAACAAACCATATTAGTATTATTAAAGATACATGTAAAAAAAGAAAAGCAAAACAAATAATCAACAAAAACAAGACACAAAGGGTTGTACTCATCACTGAGTAGGACCAGTGTAGGAGTGGGAGCAGACCCATTGAAAAGAATGCACATGACTAACTTAGGTTACTTTCAGCGGGTTTATGCAGAATATAAGTTGGATACCACCCAAACATCTCTGGTGGGTAGTCTCAGGCATGTAGCTTCATGAAAACAGAGGCAGATGTCAGTAGAGAAATCTCAACAACCTGAAACTGATTGATAAACATTCATCTCAGTCATTACCCACGGCCCTCCTTGTTACTCAAACTTGACCCATTATAATAAATATATATGCATCTGTATTGCTTCAGTATATTTTCTTTTTCTTTGGGGCAGGGACGGGGGCAGGGGAGGAAACAAGTATAATAAAAGAACCTCAAAGTCTTGATCTGCTTAACCTGACATGAGTTTATGAAAAACAGTTTGCTCCAATGCTGTTGCTATCCTACCTCACAACTGAGAGAAGATGGAGGCCTACACTTAACTCGTGAAAAATCACTATCAGCAGAAACATGGAGATCATGCATCCTACCCCTCATGGGCCATATTTCAGTAATATTACCTGAACTGGAGAGAGTAGAGACCATCCATTCACAGCAAACAAAGAAGCCCATACACAAAGAAGCCAGAAAAATGTGACTAAGGCCTGTGATAGTCCGGAGGATGTGGGGATGGTAGCAAGGAGGAAGAATCAATGCCAGGGAAGGATTTCAGACCTCACTTGGGCAGTTCGGAAAAAGCTGAGAGGTCAGGTTTACTGATGTGCAGGGACCATTGTCATTTCAGCAAGGGTTCAACATACAGTTGCAAAACAGAAGAGGTACTCTCGCAGGAACATTGGCAGTGGGTAGATCTTACACAGGAGGAGGAAGGTGAAAAAGACACAGACAAAATGGGAAAGTAAGGAAAATACTGCCACAGAGGCTCTCCAAATGAACAGATTTCAGGTATCTCATAATGGCATCCATGGGAGTGTGGCTCTTCGGGCCAAATTCTACAACAGAGCCTTCTGTTTCAAAATATGTGACTAAAGGTTTGGGGAACAGTCCAGTATTGTCAACTCAACCTGACGATGGCTTTCCAAGGTCTCAAGTGGCAGTCTTCCACATCACCTGCTACCTGCAGAATCTGCTACCTTTGTCACTAAAGATGGCAGGGATTGAGCCCAAGACCTTCTGAATGCAAAGGAGGTGCTCTTTAGCCCTATGATCCCTATGATGAGGGATCCTGATGTGGAGTGCACCCTGCTCCAAAGTGTCATTCCTACCACTTCAATCAGGCGTACCTGAGTGTAATATCCATGCATTGCAAATAGCTTGCCATGAGCCCGAGCTGTTCCAAAGGCTTTGTGTACAAAAGAACACCTGTCCCCGAGTTGTACGTAGGCTTCATTCCTAGAAAGTTCCACCATAACCCAATTCCTTTTCTCTGTTTTCTCCACGTCCCCCGCCTCCTCCTTTACTTAGTGACCTAGATTGCTTCGAAGAGGAAAGGGTTCAAGCTGGGGGAGTGGAGCACAGAAGCACTTTGCCAGCGCTGAGTAGCAAAGAAAGGCAGTGAGAGGCTGAAGAGAGATGGGAGGGTGTTTCCCTAAATGGATTTGCCCTTCTAATCCCTCCCTCCAAGTGAGGAGTAGGGATAAAAATGGATTGTCTACTTGTATGTGCATTGCGTCCATGTGCAATAGATACACACACACACATATGCCTTCCTGTGCCGGTGGGAATCTCCCATCTGAAAAACACACTGTATTCCGCAAAGAACAAATCCCTCTGCAACTCATCCGCTCTAATGCGCTGTGACAGAATACACTGAGAAGTACCGCAACATGCTTATCTATTAATATATGTTTGAAACAATCAATAATGCATGTGCTGCGATACTCGCTCTCTGCGCTTGGTCCTGATACATGCAGAAGCAAATCTGTCTGGAGAAGCAACTTAGTAAGCAAAATGGAGAAGGGGAAAAAAACCCACCACACCAGTATAGGAAAGCTCCGGCATAATTCCCAAGACGGTTGAAGGGTTCCTGGTTTGTATGCATAAAACTGCAGCATTTCATTTTCCCTCGCAAAGGCCAGCGCAAATGAACCCCAGAGCACGTGTGTGTGTGTGTGTGTGTGTGTGTGTGTGTATACTCCCGCCCTCTTTATATTCTTCAGGCGATTGGAGTGATCCCTTCCCATCATCCCTTCCTTCCTTGAGAAATTTGAAGCTGTCATTTTAAGTGGCAGGTTTTTGCTTTGTTATGTAACAGAGAGGCAAGAAACCCACATAAACTCCACGAAGAGACTTTGATCATGCAGAGGAATTGAAAGCAACTTCTTTCAGGTCCTGGCTTACTAGTGACAACCAGCAAGAGATCAAATACAAATGTTGGCACAAACAAGGAACAAGGGAACAAAACAGGCCTTTCCCAAAGCAAAGGCTGTAAAAGAATTTCAGCAAGGTCACCACGGTGTCAGAGCTCTCTTCAGTTTTATTGGACTACCAGTGGATAACAAGGTAACTGCCTACAGAGAAAGCCTTCTATTGTTGCTCTACTTCTGTGGCTAAGCAGACTAGCTGGGAATTAGTTGACTTACAAAATATGATGCTTGCCTCCTACACCAATGAACCTTTCTTCTAAAGCAGCAGAGAAATGGAAGCATACACACCAAGGAAATAAGGAAAGAAACATGCAATTCACACACTCCAACTGTTTCTTCTGCAGAATGTTTTCCCTCACAGCCAAAGCTAGGTAAGGGAAGGAATTCATTCTGCTTGCATTGTAAACTTGCACTGATGTGCAAATTCCCAACTCAACTTGCGAACTGAGACACAGCTATCCTTTGAAATTCAAACTCCTCCAAAATTTGGCGATGCAATTCTCTAACCAAAATAGTGCACATAAATGCATGTTGTAGTAAAAAGAACTTACAAAGCTACCCTGTATTGAGGAAAATAGCTTGTGGATGTTCATTTATTAGGTAAAATTACATAACAAAAAACATATACAGTGGTACCTCGGGTTAATAACTTAATTCATTCTGGAGGTCCGTTCTTAACCTGAAACTGTTCTTAAGCTGAAGCACCACTTTAGCTAATGGGGCCTCCTGCTGCTGCCATGCCGTCACCACACAATTTCTGTTCTCGTCCTGAAGCAAAGTTCTTAACCCGATGTACTATTTCTGGATTAGTGGAGTCTGTAACCTGAAGCGTCTGTAACCTGAAGTGTCTGTAACCCGAGGTACCACTAAATCAGGAGAAATGCATGTGAAAAGGAGGACGCGGAAATTAAGGGTGGAAAAATGAGAAACTGGCAGAAACCAAAACTTATAGATTTCTCCATCCATCCCTAGCCAAAGCCAGTCCAAAATACAAGAATGCTCTAGCATACATTCAGTGCTGTGAGCATTCACTGAAGATACAGCAAGATGATAAAAGTTTTGCATTGCTGTGGATGACTGTGCCATATATTTGCAGACTTACTGCCTGTATCTAAACCTGAACTCTGATGTGTTATAAGTTGTACATGTTTAATACATAACTAAGAGTATAATGCCTTCTGTTAGACTCTACAGTAGTCAGTTGGTCTTCTACCATGTGTTTCTAGGGTTCAGTCATATTACATTTTCAGAAGTGTCTAATATCATCTTTGTTCAGGAAACTTCACGTGAAGAGACAGTCACAAGATTTGGCAACAATACAGTGTGGCAAAAAATGTTTTGTTTTGTTTTTCCCTTTGAGAAATCCTTGCAATATATAAATTACAAAAGTTACTTAACTACCTAAAGGGAACCAGGCAGAGGAATAGGCAGAAGGCCTTCTCGGTAGTGGCGCCCTCCCTGTGGAACACCCTCCCTTCAGATGTCAAGGAGATAAAGAACTACATAACTTTTAGAAGACATCCGAAGATAGCCCTGTATCAGGAAGTTTTTAATGTTTGATAATTTACTATGCTTTATATATGCAGTAAGCTGCCCTGAGTGGCTGGGAAAACCCAGCCAGTTGGGCAGGGTGTAAATAATAATAATAATAATAATAATAATAATAATAATAATAATAGAAATTCAGCTACTCCAGAGCTTCATCAAACAATCTCTATTCCTGAACTTTGTATTGAAGGCACTGCCGCCACATGGCAATCTTATCACACTTCTTCACATCTCTGTTAAGTCTGCCAACAAGGAGGGCAATTATGGTCAGCTGAGATTCATAATGAGGATGTTGTTCATTAAGTATTAGAGGGAGACCACCCAGTCATTTTTAACAACTATGGAGCCATTAAGCGGTATATATTTATTAGAGCAGTAGAGCCCAAAGAACAGCACATTACAAAAGTTGCCATACTCTATTGCAAAAAGACAATGAAATGATTAGTGAACTTGTATCAGAGACTTGTAGCCAAAAAAGGATTTGGCTAGCATTGATCCAGTCTGTGGACCACCCATTAGCCACTCCAGGTCTAAATTATGGTACTTGGGTGATAAGGTACCTGATAAGGAAGGGCTCCCAGTTGCAGGAAGGTTTGTCACTGTGCTTTTCCAAATGCACTTAGAAATCCACTTTATACATTCCTAGTCGACTCAGGAAGCTTGGGAGCAGAGTGAATTGTGAACATTTGCTCCCCCTTCCCAAAACTCTATTTTGAATGTCTCTTTCCGGAATGAGGAACTGAGATTTTTAAATTAAGTTTTAATTGGTGGGAATGAGAATCAGAAATAGGAGTAAGAACCAGATTGATCCATCTGAAAGGCATCCTTTCCCCTTCACCCTGACTTGGGTGAGAGGACAGGTCCTTTGAACTCTTCCTGTCTCCCCATCTCTCTTTATTTCAACATTCATGGCCTGCTTCTTTGGATGTTGACTTGGCAGTGCATCCCACTGTCTTCAATGGGACTTGCTCCCAATTGGAGAAGTACATAGGACTGAAACCTAAATTATGCAACCCAAAATTGGATAGTTTCTAAAATGTTCTCACACTTCGGGCATTTCTTTGTGATGGATTTTCAATTTTCATTAAGAGACTTGATAACCACAGACCACAAATTAATTTGTTTGAGCTCGCTCCATTTAGCAAAGATTTGCATTCCATACAGCCTGTGTTGGAGATGGGGAACCCCTTTCTGCCCAATAGTCACTTTCCCTTCTGGACAACCTTGTGAGGTGGGACATGCCAGTGGCGGGTGGGATCAGAGGCAAAAATGGACAGAGCAATTCATGCCAATTTTACCTCTGTGCACTGAGCTAATTTTTACAGACGCACCCCTCTTTAGTCTCCTTGCAGGCAAGCACAAAGCATTATGGGAGTTCAAGGACACATTGCAATCAGGCAGAAACACTCAGAGAGGGTGCAAAGCAGGACAGGTGATGGGCGTGGCCTGAGGAGAAGGGGTGTGGCCTAAGGAAAGTCCCAAGGGCCACATCTGGGCCTGAGATGCCCCTTCCCTGCTTTATGGCATATGCATCTGATAGTGAAGGAAGGGTAACAAATTTAATCATGATAAGATGTGCTGTGGTCAGGGCCAATGATCCTATTTTGCTGTTTGAGGCAAATCAGGAAGTGCCGGCCGCTGCTACCTGTGGTGCTGGCAGAGAAGCGATGCCGGCACAGGCACTGATTTCAGGGGAGATCTCACAAGATCTTGCCAGAAATCAGCACAGAGGTGGCCAGGCGCAGCCTCACCCCACCGAACGGCTGTGGTAGCCTATGGTATCTGGCCACATGCAGGAAAATACAAAGAAGGAATAAATTCGTTTGTCCTTTGCTCATCCTTATTCTTCCGTGTGTTTCCAGAATTTAAGCACTGTGCCACACCCTGGAAACCAGAAGCATGAAATCACACACACACACACACACACGTTTATTTCTGCAGCCTCAATAATACAGGCACAAATTATAATGCCAAACCCTTGAATGTTCACAATATATCAAATGGCAGGACGTATCTTTGCTTTCCATGTTGCGCATGTCACCTTTTCATTCATAAAAGACAAGTCGTATCTTTAATCACTCTGCCAGAATAACAGCACTCGACTGCTTGCGTTATCAAACACTATTGGAAAAGTCTAGATAAGGAAGGCTGGGCAACCCCAGCCGATTAGTATTCCACACACAGCCACCTCCTCGTAAGCAAGAGTCATTGGTATCCCAGCAACCCTTAACTTTTCATTCTCCCTGGATTGCCGGATCTTTATCAAAATATAATTACATCCCTCATTTGGAAGATAAATTTTGATAGCCTGTGCCATGCCCAAATAAATAAAATCTGCGAGTGCTAAGATTCCACGGTTACAAACACCTGCATGCATCAAGGCACTTAGGTGGCCTCCTACCTTGTGGAAAGATTTGTTTGGTCTGCAGCATCTCCCACCTTCGCATCGATGGCTGAGGTTAAATCTTCAAATGTGGCAACAAGCTGAAAGTCGGCCCGGTCTCACATCCAGTTCCCAACTGCAGCAAGCCAGAGGACTCTGGGATGCCTGCAGCAGGACAGGAAGGAAGCAGGCCTTCTCCCACTTTCCACCCCACTACCATTCCAAGGTATACTGCTTCTGAACCTGGAGGATCAATTTACCTATCAGGGTAAAATCCCATGATAGAGCCGACATCCATTCATTTGATAAAACTCAGGAAATACCTCCGTTTGGAAACATAGAGTCACAGAGTTGGAAGGGACTGTGAAGGACATCAAATCCAACCCCCAGAAATGCAGGAATCTTTTGCCCAATGTGGGGCTTGAACTCATGCCCCTAGGATTAAGAGTCTTAAGTTCTACCTATTGAGCTAACCCCCGATAATTCAAAATAAATAGTAGTACAGTCATAAAAAGGACCCCAGATCATTAGGTCCAGTCATGGCCGACTCTGGGGTTGGGGCACTCATCTCGCTTTATTGGCTGAGGGAGCCAGCGTACAGCTTCCGGGTCATGTGGCCAGCATGACTAAGCCGCTTCTGGCAAACCAGAGCAGCACACGGAAATGCCGTTTACCTTCCCACCGGAGCGGTACCTATTTATCTACTTGCAGTTGACGCGCTTTCGAACTGCTAGGTTGGCAGGAGCAGGGACCGAGCAACGGGAGCTCACCCCGTCACAGGGATTCGAATCGCCGACCTTCTGATCGGCAAGTCCTAGGCTCTGTGGTTTAACCCACAGTGCCAGCCGGGTCCCTTAGTACAGTCATACCTCAGGTTAAATATGCCTCAGGTTGAGTGTTTTCAGGTTATGCTCCATGGCGACCTGGAAGTAATGGAATGCGTTACTTCCTGGTTTCGCCGCTCGCGCATGTGCAGACGCTCAAAATGACATCACGCACATGCATGGAAGCGGCGAATCGCGACCCGCGCATATGCGGGTTGCATTCACTTCAGGATGCCAACGGGGCTCCAGAACGGATCCCGTTTTCAGCCAGAGGTACCACTGTAGTATGCAGTTTTACATTTACTGGAGGCAAGCAGTGCTATTTTTCTAGAAAGAGAGGTGCCGGAACTCACCATGAACACCTCCCTCGTTCTCTTAGAATGGCAACAGTGCCCACTTGAGAGGTGCCGGAACCGAGTTCTGGCGAGTTCCAATTAAAGCCCTGGAAGCAAGTGATTCTGCACTTGACAGGCATGTGAGGGACACTGCAATGTGTAACAGAACTTTAAAATTTTATTTTGTGACCTGTTGCGTGACTCAGAATAAAAGAAGCTAGTTCTTGAGTACACCAGAAAGTACTGCAGTACAGGCAGCAACTGTTTGAGGTGTGTCCGATAAGTTCATGACGGTGCACGCATCGTGCCGAACCCGGAAGCGACCCAAAAACATCACAGAAAGGGGCGGGATGGGCAGGGGACAGAATGGGGCTTTTGCAGGCTTTTTCAATGGCCTTTCAAATATATGCAATTTCACTTAAACATGTCGTGCCTTGGAATGTAACTCCCGGGTAAATTGGGAGTTGCCTGTACTTTATGGGGAAGAAACATAGGAAAGATGCTGGAGTCACACCACCGGTCAATCTAGCTCAGAAATGCCTACACTTACCAGCAGCAGCACTGCATGGTTTCAGACAGGGGACATTTCCAGCCGGAGGTTGGACTTGGGACCTTCTGCATGCAAAGCAAATGCTCCATCGCTGTCCTAATGCCTTTCCCCACCTACTCATACCAGTAGTGGCAGGCAAGGTAGGTACTGCTGCTCACCTGGCTTCCCAATACTGCACATCACTGCTGGTTACCTAGAGGGAAAGGGGTAAGGCCCTCAGTTACTGGCAGTCACCTCCACGCTGGGAAGCAAGTAAGCAAGGTGCCCCACCCCCATCTACCAACTGCTACCGTTTGCCTCTAACAAAAAAAACCCTACCAGTTAGGTGACAATGATTCTTCAGTATCTCCATAACTAATTAGGTTCCTAAAATACATGCAATACATTCCACCTTCCTAGGCAGCTCGCCTGCGATGGTGCTTATGCTGGGATTCAGCTTTAGCTACCACAGACATTTACAATGCAAAAGCTGAGGTAGAAAAGGAGGAGGAGGGAAGGAGAGACAGATGCATCCTGACAACTGGGACATTTGGAGGTTGGCGTTTTCCCTGGGGCCAGCACTCTGAAAAACATGGCAGTCCTGGCTGAAATAGGACCATTGGAGGGCAAGTTGTGGAACCGTAAATGTGAAGATAGCAGTCAATCCTGCCCTTCTTATGCCATTAGCAAAGTGACGCTAATTTAAGATTAGGAATGTTTAAGAGGCATTGCCTGTGGACAAGTAAAATAATAACTAGCAAACTATATTGTGTGAAGCGCACTAGGATGATTCAGAGAATAGATTGAGTTTAATCTCTGGTTAGTTTAAGCATGCCTTTCCCTGCTATCTGTGAATGGCAGCGTTTGGCTCACATTCCAAAATGGACTAACAACATACCTGCTGGATCAGGCCAAAGGTCCACCTTGCCCAGCATCCTGTTGTCCCCATGGCCAACCAGATGCCCATGGGAAGCTCATAGGCAGGACCTGAATCACTTGTGATTCCCAGCAACTGACATTCAGAAGCATGCACCTTCTGATATTGTAGGTAAAAGATACGGACAACATTATGAAAAAAAAAATCCATTGCTCATCAATGCTGTGCTACCTTGCTGTGTGTTGCTGAACCATAGGGCTATCACTCAGGGGTAGAGCTTTGGTCCCAGGTTCAATCCTTGGCATATCCAGGTAGGATTACAAACACCTCTGGCTGAAATCCTTGAGAGCTGCTGCCAGTCTGTGTAGACCAGTGTTTCTCAAACTTAGATCCCCAGCTGTGGTTGGACTACAATGCTCCTCATCCCTAGCTAGCAGGACCAGTGGTCAGAGATGATGGAAGTTGTAGTCCAACAACAGCTGGAGAGACATTGAGCTAAATGGACCATTGGTCTGACTCAATGTAAGGCAGCTTATGTTTCTATAAAATCACACATACACCATGGATAGCTGTATGTGTGATGGGGGGCAACAAGTGTAAAAACAAAATACAAACTCTGACATGGTAACGAGCAAGCAAATCTATCCTACGTTCCATGTTCTGTCCCAATACCAGATCTCATGGAGAAGGCAGCTCAGAGGTTGCAGGACCATGGATAGCTCCAAGTGAGCAACTTGACCCAATCAAGGTTGAGAGCAAGACTGAGCCTTTTTAAACTTGTGCCGCCAGATTACCCCTCCTGGCTCTGCCCCTCCTGACTTCCCAAAATATGGTCCTATGCTATGTTCCACAAGCTGGGCCAAGGTTTCCAGCCACTGAACTCAAGTAATGTTGCATTATTCCCAATTCACAGAAAAAATAAAAATTAATAGTCTGTTTTTTTCTTTTCAGTTTTACATTATTAGAACCATTCATCTGACTAGGTTTCAGCCAATTCCATCTGTAGGAATTGTGTCATCATTGCTAACAGACAGATACCGTATTTTTCACTCTATAAGACACACCAGACCACAAGACACACCTAGTTTTTGGAGGAGGAAACAAGAAAAAAAATATTCTGAATCTCAGAAGCCAGAACAGCAAGAGGGATCGCTGCACAGTGAAAGCAGCAATCCCTCTTGCTGTTCTGGCTTCTGGGATAGCTGTGCAGCCTGCATTCGCTCCATAAGACGCACACACATTTCCCCTTACTTTTTAGGAGGGAAAAAGTGAGTCTTATAGAGCAAAAAATGTGGTATTTTTGTAAGCAGCCGTTCAGCATATTTCATTGTAGCCCAATAAGGCTAAGCATTGACATCAGGGGCAAAAATGGCGGCCAGTGTCACGGAGCAGGAGTAAATATTTCAGGTGCTACTAAAGTACGAGATCATATTCTCCGCTATTAATACAGGGTGGGATTCAATGAATCAGTCCATCAACTTGCTTAATGGGCCTTTCCCACATCCCAGCACTGCTGGACAGTGTACAGTGGGAAGCATTGGGTTCCTCAGTCTCCATTGTCTCCTGGTCTCCCATAGCAGACTCAGAGCCCGGCACCTAGTTTGGCTCCTTAGCTAGAGACTCTGCAGCCTCCGATTCCAAGTCTTGATTGCTGCTGGACTCTGGGTCATGACACTAAGGTTTCAATACCAAGCCATCTTTCCCTGGGTTAGCAGTTCTCGTGAGATGAAGTAACATTTAGGCAACTTTTTGTTGAGTCTAAATGTGCAGAATCAGGTTCACCCCTGGCAAAAACAATGATAAATTAATTTGTCAGATGGAACTCAGTGGGATTCATGACCATTGTAGACATTGCACTGAATGTGTTGGACTGAAGTCACAGAATTCAGACTATACTACCAACAATAGGTGGTTTATTTTTTTTTCAATACTTGGCCATATTAAAAAACATCAACAAATGTCCCTACATGCAATGAGCTGGCACCTAAGTTAAACCTTTCTCTCTGACAAGCTATTCCCCATCTCATAAGTTTGGGGGTTTCTTTTTTACAGGAGGGAGCACTGCAAAACATACCCCCCCCCGAAGTGGTTCAGTCCTCAGGCGACTTCAACTGATCATGTGTAATGTATAGCTCATCCAAGCAAACTTGTTCAAGAGCTAGTAGTAAGCCTTCTGTTGGTGTCCTCAGAAACCTTCCTGAATATCACTACAATAACAATCCATGTTTCTTCTGCAAGGCTGTTAGTCACACAGGCAACTATGGTTTTTCTAGGTATAGAAAATATGCAGTGTCTTTTAACCAATTTCTAAATATGTATTGCTCCTGCACTGCCCATTCGCAAAGACCTGACGTGGAATGACTTCTTCCTTTGAAGATACTCAGCTGAGGTTACTCTGAGCAGCCAATGAGCACATCCTAGTACTTGGTTTCCTATTTCTTTTCCAACCTTAAGCTTTTATACTTTTCTGAGTTTCTCACCAATATGTTCCACTGAGCATCCTCAGTTGCTGCTGTGACACCAATCACAGGAGATTAGATAGATAGATGATTGATAGATGATAGATATAGATATAGAAATATATATAGATATTACTCAATATAAACCCCACTCTGCATACGATCCTTTTCATCAACAGGATCATGAAGGAGCAGATCTACAATATTGGTATCATGAATGTCAAGTAGCAAGAACTCTGTATCATCAATGCTAAAAATAACTGAAATAGCAAGAACAGGGAGGGTTGGGAAACACTACTACCTGAAACCCAGTCAGTGTCAACTATACTGAGCTAGAAGGACCAATGGGCTCATCTGGTATAAGAAATACCCAATGCCCAAGGGATATTTTCCCCCTACAGGCGACTGTGCAGTGTCATATTTGTGAGAGAACATTGCCTAGTGTTTCCTGT